AATTTTTATATAGTAATTTTAAGCCCTTTATATTAAAATAAATGAAAATATGAGGAAAGCTGTTTAATAGCCATCTATGGTCAAATTAAATTATGATGTGCATTCCTTACAAACAGTTATAGCTATAGGTGAGCATAGGTAACAATATGTAGTATTTAAACCAATACTATTGCATCACCAATGATCGTTCTGGCTTTTAAAGCTATTTCAGTTCCTACAACTGGTTATAAAGGTAAAGGTAAAGGGACCCCTGACCATTAGGTAAAGTCGTGGCCAACTCTGGGGTTGCGGCGCTCATCTCGCTTTATTGGCTGAGGGAACTGGCGTACAGCTTCCGGGTCATGTGGCCAGCATGACTAAGCTGCTTCTGGCAAACCAGAGCAGCGCACGGAAACGCCGTTTACCTTCCCGCTGGAGCGGTACCTATTTATCTACTTGCACTTTGACATGCTTTCGAACTGCTAGGTTGGCAGGAGCAGGGACCGAGCAACGGGAGCTCACCCTGTTGCGGGGATTCGAACCGCCGACCTTCTGATTGGCAAGTCCTAGGCTCAGTGGTTTAACCCACAGCGCCACCCACGTCCCACAACTGGTTATACTCATCTCCAAAATCTGTGGGTTGTATCCAAGTAAAGCGTAACTCAGAATAAAACCACTGGATTGTATTCAACTAAATCTTACTCAGAGTAGAACTACTGAAATTAATGAACCTAAATTAGTCATGCCCGCTTACTTCAATGGGTCCACTCAGAGTTGGACTAGCACTGAGTACCACTCATTGAAATCAATGGTCTAATGTTAATCATACACATTGATTTCAGTTGGTTTACTCTAAGTATGACTTACCGTAGTTGGATTAAATCTTATAGGTTGTTAAACACTCCAAACTGAAATAATCTAAGCATTGTTGAGAGTGCTTATTATCAATGCCTCTAACTATAAGGGACAAATGTAAATATTTTCTCTCCACTGTTAATCTTCAAGACATATATTTCTCCGTTACCCCTGCAAGGTCATTTATTTCCTGCATAAAGCAGAGGGCAATTAAATGGAAGGATAAACCTGGTGCCCTGAAGAGAGAAAACATCCACAGTCAATTGAATATTTTTGATTCCTTCCCTCTCTTTTTCACCAAGCGCTACTTGGGGAGCACATTATGCTGAAATGCAATCTCATAAATATCATTAAAAACCATAACAATATAAATGTGTAATACATAGAACAGAGGGAGTCTTTCCCCACTTGGGCTTCTGATCATTCCCTACTGCTTATATTTCCTCAACAGAATGAAATAACCACATTAAATAAAATAAATAAATAAAGAACGTGTATAATGTGCATGGGAGAAAATACAGATGTAAAGGTTAACAAATTAAAGATCTACATGCAGGAAAAGGTACACACAGCGTATGTTCTATAGCATTACAGCACCACAGTTTTCCACCTATGCGTCTGAGCATAGCTATTTGAAAGAATGCTCATTGACTGGTTGCACGGTTAGTCAAACATTTGCAACTTGGCCCTTTGTACAACCAAGTACAGCCTAGAGATATACGCTATTTTTAGAACTCCCCACTGCAGTATTCAGAGCAGGACATTTGTTAGCATTCTCCAAACCCTCCAGATTTGCAGCAAGCATAATAAAGTGTTTGCTATATTAGGGAAAGCATGACCTTGTGGCTTCTTTGGTTAAACTGGATACTAAGCCTCCCCTTATCAGTTGCTAACAAAATGCATCTTAAAAAAAAAATCTGTCAAAGTTCAGCTTAAAAAGGATCCCCAGCAGTGTCTCAATGAGGTCGAAGAACACAGACAATCCTTTTATCAAATTTATAAATATCACTTTCAGTTAATTTAAGCTACTTTCAATAGCCATATAAATGGTTGTCATCTTAACTAGATCCGTTTTTACATCTCTCTTTACTTCTGTTTCCAAACATGAATCCTTCTAATCAATAAGAGTATATCTATGCAGGCAATATATAGCAGAGGATTTACTGTAGGGATATAATGCCATCTGCTGCTACAGTTGCTGCTATAGCAGGGGGAGAGAAAAAAACAAAGACATAACTGGGCCTTTAGTTTAACAAAAAAAAAATGCTTTAGCGATCATATCGTTTCATTTTATCCCAGAAACGTTAAACCCAGACATTCAAAGAAAGGACCAGGGTTTTGTTATTCAATCCCACCATCCCACAACTGCACACCTCTATTGCCTGCCAGATCTGAGAAACACTATATTCAGAATAGATTTACAAGACAAGTTCTCTCATCCTTTCACAGGTCCATGCTGAACTGGATTGTGTAAAGGATCCAATACTGATTCACAGTGTGGTGGTGAAGTTTTATTCCGGTGAACCTGGATCACAAAGCAACTTGATCCTGGCTATATTCAGAAGTAGATTGCCCCTGAATACCAGCTGCTGAAGGGAAATAACAGAAGAGGCCTCTTGCCCTCAAATACTGCTTGTGGACTTCCATTAGGCATCTTCTTCACCACTATCAGAAACAGGATACTGGACTAGATCTGTCTTTGGGATCCTCTTTCATTATCCGAGGGAAGAATCAGTGAGTAACAATGGACTAGAACCCCTAAAAACTGCTTATCTACCACCACCCACTTTCCCTTGCAATTTGCACCCACAGGGATGTGTTAGGTCTGCCACCGTCCAGCTAGGGTAATGTTAAGCATACCGGATTATTCCTGCATTGCAGGGGATTGGACTAGTTGACCCTGTGAGTACCTTCCAACTCTTCAATTCTATGATTCTAGGCTGATCAGCACTTGGAAGTTATCCAATATCACCCAGTATCCTTTACAGTGCATCCTATCTAAAGGGAGGCCACAGCAGGCACACAGTGTTCCTCTAAGAAATCAATGTAGATAGGGTTCTCTGAAGGCATTTTACTCAGAGTAGACCCATTGTAATTAATGAACATGACCAACTTAGGTCCATTCATTTCAGTGGATCTACTCTGATTAAATGGGACGCGGGTGGCGCTGTGGGTTAAACCACAGAGCCTAGGGCTTGCCGATCAGAAGGTCGGCAGTTCGAATCCCCGCGATGGGGTGAGCTTCCATTGCTCAGTCCCTGCTCCTGCCAACCTAGCAGTTTGAAAGCACGTCAAAGTGCAAGTAGATAAATAGGTACCGCTCCGGTGGGAAGGTAAACGGCGTTTCCGTGTGCTGCTCTGGTTCGCCATGCTGGCCACATGACTCGGAAGCTGTACGCCGGCTCCCTCGGCCAATAAAGCGAGATGAGTGACGCAACCCCAGAGTCGGCCACAACTGGACCTAATGGTCAGTGGTCCCTTTACCCTTTACCTTACTCTGATTAAAACATAACTTTCTATCGATCTTTCTAAGTAGGTAAGGTACACTTGGTTAAACAGGAGCTGTGGCAGCAGGGTAAATATGCCCAGACCTAGGAAAGTGAGGGTGCATATGCAACAAAGCAGAGAGGGCAGCCGAGGGCTTCACAAACTACTGCTTTGCCTCATTATATGATAGTTTCCTTTTAATGAAACTAATGTGCTCTTCAGCAATATCAATTCTCAGTTTGATGACATCAGGTGAAAACAAAAATAGCCAAAAGAAACTACAAAAATTAAAGCATTAGAAAAAACGTACTTCCAACTAGACAAGCCTGCAACAGCCTAGACTTCTTCAACAACAGGAAGAGGAATTTTATAGTTGGTCACTATCAAATCAAATCTTTACTGCCACAGTCAAGGACCAGCAAATGTTTGCCACTGTTCACATCTCAAAACAGAAACACGTTCTGTGTTCAGGAATTTGCCTAAACACACAAAATCTCTGAGCACGGACAGGGGTGCATCTATAGGTCCAGTCCCAAACATCCTTGCCTGCATTGCACACATACGGTCAGTTCTCTGCCTTCTCTTGTGTTGTATAGTAAAAGTCTGCCGGGTGTTTCTGCTCATGTTTGCTTGAATGAGACTATACCCCTCCATGTGATCAGGAACCCAACTTCAACTAAGCACAAGCGGAGGCCCCTCGAAGACCATTCCCACACAACAAGGCAAAAGTCAGTGACTATGGAGGACCACCCTGGGGATGTGGATTGTGTGTGCACCCCTGTCCCCACTTTGAGTGTCCACGTACACAATTTAATTTATTTTTTTCTTCACGGGACTCAACATTAAGTATCTCTAAAAAGAGGCGTGCACCAAAAGGGGAGAATAAAAATCATGATACTGATCTGGTAATCAGAAAGTCCAGTTGCTGTGTCTAGTCTTTCATCACTGTCTTCCTGCTAAATATTTGCTTTGGAGAAGAAGCAAAAACTATTTCAATCTTTCTCAACATCAGCTGATCAGCTCTGTATAATATCTGTATTAGGAGTGTCCCCTTAAGTTAGGAGGAATTAACTACCGGTACTTTTTCCTTAAAGAATGTGTCTTACTATTTCTTTCTTCTCTAGTCAAAATGCAGGAAAAGCCAAGTAGTGTGAGAAATTCAGTAGAAACCGAATAAATGAGTAACTGTCAAAAGGACAGAACTATTAAAAGTATAAATCCTGCATACCCAGCTGTGAAATATAATACAATATAGCAAACTCTGTTAAATGCTTGAAATAAAAGACAAAATGCAATGTAATCTCAAACTGTTTAATGAATACAACTGTTGAAAAAGTGAAGTACTTTCATACAGCACCCTGAAATGAACTTGACTACAAATACAGAAAATACGTCAAGAAAGAGATAAAAATCACATTCATCTGCAGTCTAGTCGCACCAGTTCCACACTCCGTTCCATGAACAGCAGCTTCAGCTCCTTTGCCCAAACAGCTTCCCAATTTACTTTCAATGAACTAAATAGCAGATAATCTCTCTCTACTAAAATGAGCTGGGCTGCTTATTTAGTGAAAGAGCACACGCAAACTCTTTGGTTCAGGATCAATTCTCCCCACAACACACATATCTAACAACAACAGGCTTTTCTGTATAAAATTAAATTGTGTAAGGGAAACACTTACCTTTGAGGTGCGCTGGAGCTGATCTCCTACGTAAGTTTTACGGAACTGATCCAAAAACCAGAGTATGGCAAGTTCCACTTTCTCATTGCTAGAGCGGGGTAACTGGGCATCCATCAAAGAAATTAGCTGAAAGACTCTGAAATCAGTAAAAAAAGAAAGAAAGAAAGATGTATAAAGTTGTTGGGTTTTAAACCTGATATTCAAAATGATTCACAGGTGCACCAGCCATTAAAATCTAAACACATCTTCAGTTGAATCAAACTGTGTTCTTTTTCATCAAGCAGACACCTCTGCTAACAGAAGAGGACAGTCATTTTTACCAATTTCCCTGTTCTGAATTTGAGTTTACACAACACACAAGCAGCCAAAGTGCTGACTAGGATATGAGTATCACCGTAGAGCCAATAGAAACCAACACTGTCATTTTGTTGTTTCACGTCTCTCTGGTTATGATTTTGTTTTGGAAACTCTTTTCTGCGTGGTATTATTTGTTGCATAGCATTATTTTCAACTCATTGCCCTTTTTAACTGTATGTTATTTAAATGCTCTTGGTTTATGGTTTTCATTATGTACAGAGTGATTTGATGGACCTGGGGAGATGAATAGAGATGCCCCTATAAGAGCAGTTTCAGGTAGGGAGAGGTATGGTGATTGTGCTCAGTCCCCTAAAGGACCAGGTTCACAGTTTGGGTGTGTTTTCTGTTCCAACACTGAGTAGCTTCTCTGGCTCAAAGTAGCTTCAGTCAGCTCCAGCTAATAAACCTATACCTATACCTGGATGAGGATAGCTTATCCAATTATCCAGGCTTTGGTAACCTGCCACTTAAGACTATGACAGTGTATTATATATGGGGCTGCCTTTAAAAACAATCCAGAAACTGAAATTGTTTCAAAACAGGGACACAAAACTTTGAACTTGGTGAGGCATTATGCCAGTGCTTTATTAATTGCATTGACTCCCAGTCCGTTTCCAGGCCCAATTTATAATGCTGTTTTTAACCAATAAAACCTTAAATGGCTTGAGACTATGTTAGCTGAAAGATCATCTCCTCCTGTGCAAGCCTATCCAAATTTTAAGATCCTCTACAAAGGCTCTGCTCCAGGGGTCTCATCAAGTGAAGTTGGGAATAGGTGATACCAAGGAAGGGGCCTCAGGACTGCAGCTGCAGAATTGCTTCTCTAGAAAAGCTCACATGGGGTCTAGGTAAAGGGGCCCCTGACCATTAGGTCCAGTTGCGAACGACTCTGGGGTTGTGGCGCTCATCTCAATTTACTGGCTGAGGAAGCCGGCGTACAGCTTCCGGGTCATGTGGCCAGCATGACTAAGCCGCTTCTGGCGAACCAGAGCAGCGCATGGAAACGCCATTTACCTTCCCGCCGGAGCGGTACCTATTTGTCTACTTGCACTTTGGCATGCTTTCGAACTGCTAGGTTGGCAGGAGCAGGGACCGAGCAACGGGAGCTCACCCCGCCATGGGGATTTGAACAGCCGACCTTCTGATCGGCAAGCCCTAGGCTCTGTGGTTTAGACCACAGCACCACCCGCATTCCTTTTTCACATGGGGTCTACTCTATGGTATTTTCAGCAGCAGGCAAAGACCTATTTTTTCACCCAGGCTTTTTGATTCAGTTTGGACTGTAAAATGTGTTATGCTGTCTGTGCTGCACATACTTTTTTGCTGTCTTTTATCACTTACTGTTCATTTTAATTATTGTATATTGCATTTTTAATATTGTTTTGTTTGCTAGCCATCTAAAAAAAAATTATTGATTGGTGGGGAAAATATGTATACTTATGTGCTGGGGTGTGTGTGTGTTTGTGTGTGTGTGTGTGTGTGTGTGTGTGTGTGTGTTTATGAAGTTTTGTGTATGTGCAGAAGCTCCCAGTAAATATTAGAACACGCTAGAGCAGGCTTCCTCAACCTCGGCCCTCCAGATGTTTTGAGACTACAATTCCCATCATCCCTGACCACTGGTCCTGCTAGCTAGGGCTCATGGGAGTTGTAGGCCAAAAACATCTGGAAGGCCGAGGTTGAGAAAGCCTGTGCTAGAACATTCTAGAGAGCCTGTAACTTTCCATTCTGCTCTGAGCACGCAACAGGTATTTTCGAACTGTGTGTGTCATCTGAAGTGCCAAGGCCACTGGGAAGAGTATATCTGCTGCCCAGTGAGCAGTCTTTCTCTTTTTCTCTCATTCTTCTACAGACTTCTATTTCCTTGCTTTTATTTTTTGCATTTTATGTTCGTGTGGTGTAATTTTTTTATGTTGGAACTGGATTTTGCTCGACAAAGAGCTGAACTGTGCCTTGCCAGGGATCTGGCAAAGAACTGTTTATGCCTTAGTAAACTTTTATACTAATGATTTTTCCTGCGTCTGGTGTCTTTTTGGGATGCACTACTCTGCTAACCAATCAATGGCTAGGCAATGTTCCAGGGCTTGGGGCACCGGATGCTGACAATATATAGAATGGTACCTGTATGTATGTTCAGTGGTACCTTAGTTTACGAACTTAATCCATTCTGGAAGTCCGTTCTTAAACCAAAGTGTTATTAAACCAAGGCGTGCTTTCCCATAGCACAGCGGGGGACTCAATTTACAAATGGAACACACTCAACAGGAAGCGAAACATGTTCTTATTCCAAGGCAAAGTTCACAAACCAAAACACCTACTTTCGGGTTTGCAGCGTTCTTAATCCAAGTTGTTCATAATCTAAGATGTTCTTAAACCAAGGTACCACTGTATATGTATGATGATATGTATGTGTATCACACTGTGAAACACAGTGTGTGTATGAATACCTGTGTCCAAAGGACATAAAGTCAATAATGGCTACAGCAGAGGTGGGCAACCAAGGATTTTCTCTACACATGGTCGCAATGCAGTTCTTTGAGACCCAGTCAGTTTGTGCTCGACCTATGATCCATACCTTGTCCTGACAATCAGATCCTGTACTCCATGATCTCTAGGCTGGGAAAGTGTTCTGCGTAGGAAAATACACACACAGGGCAAACAAATGGTTGCTTCTCTTGCCAATTAGGAGAACCCTTTTCTGCTTAATCTTGTTTTCCACACAGAGAACGTCCAGAAGGATCAGATTACCTTCCATGAAAGAAGAACCTGCCTGTTTTAGTTTAGCACTGAGGACCTAGGCCCACAAACTCAACTTGTTTACTACACTGAAAAGCATGCACTCTGCAGGGACAGTCAGGTGACTGTGATTTAAGACAGAGGTGTTATCAAATGCTGTCAAATGAGCAGTTCTGTAATGCCAATTCAGATTCCAAGCCAATATGCTGTTTTGAAAGCCATTCTCTGTTCATCAAATCTGAAAACACCGAGGGGTAAACAGGACTTTTGCCCATAGCAATTTTCATTCACAAAACATGCCTTCTTTTTTGAAAACGTTTGAGGGTAATGATGCACACTTACCGACATGATAATTCACCATCCATAGCATCATGTTCATCAGTACTGGTATAAGTTAATCTTCCTCCTACAACAGTTCCCACAAGATAGACAAGCCATGCCAAGCATCCTAGCAGGGATGGAGATAGGGAGGGAGAGAGAGAGAGAGAGCATTTACATTACAACTTCATACAGCATCTGATCCAAACATATTGCAGGCTGTTCTAGTAAATGCTAATGTTTATTGATAAATTGTTGAATTTCTGTCTAATTCTTTGAAGCCACTTGATGATTCTTATAATAAACTCATAAATGCTTATATTGTAGGGCAGGCTATTGTGGCTCACATTTTACCAGGAAGAGGGAAATGCGGATGAAACTTGTGAGTTTACCAAAACCACTTGGTTAGCCTTGAAATCTATTCTTAAAATCTTCTAAAATGTTAAGAACTGCTAGCAAACATCAACATTCACCAAGTTCCTGATATGTATTGTAACACAGCTGAGGAAGTAATTCCAGAATTAAGACCGAATTTTGCTTTCTGTTATAAATCATACTTTGATATAGTCATCCCAAGTACTATAATTTCCATTTTTATGACAACATTCTGACTAATGATCCAATATAGCAGGTTTTTAAAAAAACACTGCAGACCTAGATTCTGTTCGTTGGCCCTTGACTATGGGAGGGGAAAGGCCTTCACACCTCTAGTAAGTGATCTTCACTGCAAATCAACAAAAATAATATCTCTTTCCTCATCCTGGATAGACTTCTCTGCAGTTTTTGACACTATTCTTTGGGACCTTCTTGAACATCTGGCAAGTATCTGAGAGGTCATTCCAATGGTCCCATTTTTTTGCCTTTGAAATAACAGGGGAACCAGGAATACTCCTAGATCTAAAGGTAAAGGTAAAGGGACCCCTGACCATTAGGTCCAGTCGTGACTGACTCTGGGGTTGCGGCACTCATCTTGCTTTATTGGCCAAGGGAGCCGGCATACAGCTTCCGGGTCATGTGGCCAGCATGACTAAGCTGCTTCTGGCGAACCAGAGCAGCGCACGGAAATGCCGTTTACCTTCCCACTGGAGCGGTACCTATTTATCTACTTGCACTTTGACGTGCTTTCAAACTGCTAGGTTGGCAGGAGCAGGGACCGAGCAATAGGAGCTCACCCCATCGTGGGATTTGAACCGCCGACCTTCTGATCAGCAAGTCCTAGGCTCTGTGGTTTAACCCACAGCGCCACCCGCGTCCCTACTCCTAGATCTAGCTGTCTTTATTGGCTTAAGAGTCTTCAGTGATGTGGAGTGCCTTTTGCCAGTTTTATCTGGTTTGCCAGCTACAGGTGAACAGTGACAGCCTGGCCACAGTAATTCATACTCTAATAACTTCTCATATAGATTACTACAATGTGCTCTACGTAGGCCTGTCTTTCAGAAAGACTCTGTAACAGAAGCTAATACAGAATGCCGCAGCAAGGTTACTGAGTTGATCAGCCACCCAGAGCCACATATCACCTGTTCTGAAGGAGTGGCTGCCATCATGTACTGTTGACAACTTATAAAACTCTGATGATTTGGGACCTAAATACTTGAAAGAGCCTCTTCCTATATCGTCTTGCAGTGATGCAACAATAAAGGCCTTCTTGGTGGTGACACCCCAGCTGTGAAATGTCCTCGCTGCTGAAATTTAGCTGGTACCTACTCTCTTTTCATCCTAGTGCCAGCTTAAAACATGTCTGTTTACTCAAGCCATTGGAAATAATTAATGTTCAACTTTGGATTTCGAGGCATGTCTCTGCAATTTTATGACCAACTGAAATTTTATCTGTTCTCATGTTCAGTTACTGGATTGTGGCTTTAAAAAAAGAAAATTTTATTGTTCCCCACTCTAAAATATTAGGATGGAGGGTGGGCTATAAATAGATGAACAGTGATCACTGCAGACACCATCCCTTTATGGGATCTATTGCGAGGAGTGAAAACATGATCATTTTTCTATCCCCCATCCCCCGTTGGTTTGATTTGATTTGTTATAGTCTCAAAAGCTTACAGTGATAACTATTTATTTTAAACTGACCAAGTTCTGCTCCTCATTTGGTATCTATTTGGTTGCTGCCATTAATGCAGATTCTGTAATCAAATGCTTATTGCAAAAACAAAACCAGTATTTTAAAAGTACTATTTCACAATTTTAAGGCCAGCACCACCATGTCTGAAAGCTGGAATATTGGCAAGTCTGAAGCACAGAAAACCGTTAAATGGATTGATAGCCTCCTCAACATTTAAGATTAAACTCTAAACTACTCCCATCAGCACATGGAGTATTCTGTTAATGATCCTGAGTTAATCCCTATGCACAGAAAATAGAATTCATTTTCCATCACAATTCTCTATGCTTACTTCCTCTATTCAAAACATTCAGTATTGCTGCTTTTCCAGCTGCTTAAGGAGAATATTTTTTTCCTTACCAAAATAATTATTGCTGTAATAATCTGTAATTATGTTTTATAACAGCAATAATCCCAAAGAAATCAGTCATTACCATAGATCACAAGTAATCGTTAACTACTGTTAATGACCCATTTCTTGGGGATTATTGTTTTAGTAAACCACGACTGCATCACAATCGATACAGAGACCAAGACAATATAATAAAATGAGGTCTTAATATTATATTAACTTATTTTGTAACATTAAAAACCATTAAACATCTAAATTAAAGTGTGCATAACTAGAGGAGGTAACATTTATTGTTCTGTGCTAACAGAAAATGTTTAGTCCACAGAGAAGATATTGAATATTATATAAAGAGAAATACAAATTTAAAATAATGCCAACGTTTTCTTTGGTGGTGGGCGAATTCAAACGCTTTGACCTACAGAGGTTTTCTGAGAATAGCATCTAACCACATTCATCATATGTACTGACACACAACTTGGGGTACAAAAATATTAATGGAGTCATTAATTTTCTTATAGCACTGAGTATCATCTTCAAAGGGACGCGGGTGGCGCTGTGGGTAAAAGCCTCAGCGCCTAGGGCTTGCCGATTGAAAGGTCGGCGGTTCGAATCCCCGCGGCGGGGTGCGCTCCCGCTGCTCAGTCCCAGCGCCTGCCAACCTAGCAGTTCGAAAGCACCCCCGGGTGCAAGTAGATAAATAGGGACCGCTTTCTAGCGGGAAGGTAAACGGCGTTTCCGTGTGCGGCTCTGGCTCGCCAGAGCAGGGATGTCACGCTGGCCACGTGACCCGGAAGTGTCTCCGGACAGCGCTGGCCCCCGGCCTCTTGAGTGAGATGGGCGCACAACCCCAGAGTCTGGCAAGACTGGCCCGTACGGGCAGGGGTACCTTTACCTTTAATCATCTTCAAAAGATGCATCTTCCGTTTTAATCCTTAACAACCCCATATTGCTTCATTAGTATTAAAAACTATTTGCATAAATTATGTCAAGAGTCCTTACAACAACCCTGTAAAATAGGTCAGAGTTGTTATTCTGATATTACAAATGGAGCGGGGAGGTACCAAGGCTGAGATAGTTGGCAATGTAAGGCCACTCAGTGATTATAATTATGTATGCTTAAGCACAGGATGTGGGTGGCGCTGTGGTCTAAACCACAGAGGCCAGGGCTTGCCGATCAGAAGGTCGGCAGTTCAAATCCCTGCGACGAGGTGAGCTCCCGTTGCTCGGTCCCTGCTCCTGCCAACCTAGCAGTTTGAAAGCATGTCACAATGTAAGTAGATAAATAGGTACCCCTCCAGCGGGAAGGTAAACGGCATTTCCATGCGCTGCTCTGGTTCGCCAGAAGTGGCCTAGTCATGCTGGCCACATGACCCGGAAGCTGTATGCAGCCTCCCTCGGCCAGTAAAGCGAGATGAGTGCCGCAACCCCAGAGTCGTCCACGACTGGACCTAATGGTCAGGGGTCACTTACCTATGCTTAAACAAAACTGCATAGCGACCAGTTGGAAAGCCAACAATAATAATTTCTAGCCCAGAGACCAAAAGATCTAGCTTCTGAAAGGGGTAATTTTCATCCCACCAAACTTTAATTCTTTGAGTGTCTCAGCAAGCAGGCTGATAGCAGCGATCCAGCAGGCTATATACACCTCAACTTTCAAAAATAGTTTTGACAAATTCCCTCACCTAAGACAAAGGAAAAGCAGCGGCGGCAGCAAACATCGAACCCCACTGATCACGTTCCTCCCTGCCCCATTAATCTACCACTCGGCAGAAGCCATTTCATCAGGCTCAGCAGAAAAATCGGTAGGAGGAATAGGAGCACTCAGTCAGCTCTCTTGAAAGGCCAGGTCCAATTGGCTCCTCTCTCTCTCTGGACTGTTTCTATTCCAGCCATTCATTGTAAGAGCTACAATGCAACTGAACTGGTGCTCAAGTTTTTTCTCTTCCTACTCTTTTAAAAAAACCACTCTTTTATGTCATGCCTTTTGTATTTGTTTTTATTTATCTTATTTAAACTGCTCAAGAAGTCTTTTTGACTGAAAAGCAGGGTAAAATCTGCTACTCAAGAGCCCTCCGAAAGTTGTGGGACTTCCCCATCATTCCCAATGACTGGCCATGCTGACTGGGGCTACCAAGAGTCCAACAAGGCAGGTTAGTCAGCCCTGCTTTGTGTTTTCTGATAGTATTTTTCCTGTCTGTGCCAGCAAAGTTGTTCAGGAGGTGAAGGCAAATGTACCAGACAGGCAAACTTTCAGACAACATAAATACTAACCTTCCTGAATTGAGATCGCCAAGGGATTTCTACTAGAAGACTGCAACAGCTTCTGATAGCTTTGTGCATTTTGGTCAAATAGCTGTACAAGAAGAGCGCAAGTCTTTTCATATTCACATCTGCTAACTGTACACAGTTGCTCCAGCTGCTGAAAAACTGTGGCTGTATCATCCAAGGGATCATCCAAGCCATCTCTAGAATACATACAAATAGGAAAGTCATTCTGGGCAATGTAAAATGCATTGTGTAGGAATGTAAGCATTTTTGGCTTACTTATAAGGTTGCAATCCTATACCCTGAATACAACGGGTCTTACTTCAGCATAGACATGTATGGATGGCTCTGTATGGCTCTGTATTACTCTGTATTAGCTACAAGCTGAAAAAAGCTTCTCAGGAGAGCTCCTTCAAAACATACACTCCAAAGCCAAAAAATGAAAGATTATAGAGCTACGATGATCTATTATCTTAGGCATGCAACATAGGAAATAGCCCAATCTTTGACTGGACCCAGTTGAATTCAGGAGCACTTTCCCCCTCACAATTTTGTATAATCAATCAATCAATACTGTTATCGTAACACAAGAAGAATATGCATGACAAAGACAGTATGCTATCAAACTGGAAACAGTACAGCAGTACTCGTGGAGAAGAATACTTCATGTTGTTACCTTATAACCATGGGGACAGATTCCAATCTAGAAGTAATATATGCCTTTGTGATCTCAGGTGCATATGTATCCAAGAGATGGGGTTCTGATGACTTCACAAAAGGCACCGAGGCAACCATTCTCTGCCAAAGGGTTAGCAAATAATGAACACTGTTTGGTGCAAATTCCCAATGCTACGAAGAAACAAAATGAGATTTTCATTAAAGTAGGTTTTAGCCCAATGTGAGCAATTACAAACATTGTAATCTATACTACCACCGTTATTTACTATTTCTGTTCATCCCTCAATTAGAACCAAAGCCCCAAGATGTTATGTAAAACTGCAAAAAGATATGCTCCCCAAAGTTGATGCTCTCACAGAGTAAGGCTATTGGAACATGTAAAGCATCAGTTTTAATGAGTTGATCATCATGCAAGGTATGCACTTTAAAAAATCCTCCTTTTTATTAAGTAGATCACAGGACAGTTCTACCATTGTCTTACCTGTAAACTAGTAATAGTGAAACTGGCTATCAGTCTAATAACTTCTGGGTAATCTTTCACAACTACTAATTCTCCCAGTTGATAATTAGTCTTCAGTCGAGCCAAAAATCGACAGAATTCATGATAGTTACCAGGATCCGATAAACCCTAAATTGCACACCAACACAGAAGATTGTAATTAGTAAAGCAATCGTCTAATGGCAGAAACGCACGCTTTGAAAATATATACTAAATTATTTTTCACAAGGTGGGCCATTCCAGAATGATCTGCATGTCCTGAAGAGGATCCTGAAAGATTAAGAAGGGCACTGAAAGCTGTGTTACAAGTGGCATATTCAGAAAAATGAACATTATTATTATTGTTATAAGAAGAAAAATCAGTAGAGCTGAGGCCCATGTTTTAGGTGACCAGATACGGAGTTACAGCAGTGGAGCAGCTGGCTGTCTCTTTGGAATCATTAATATAAAGTTTGTGTGCATGCAAGTGCCAACTGATGTTAAAGCTAAATGAAAATAGATTCTGCCATTCATGTTTCAACTGCTTGTTGTTGTTGTTGTTAGTTTAGTCGTTTAGTCGTGTCCAACTCTTCGTGACCCCATGGACCAGAGCACGCCAGGCACTCCTGTCTTCCACTGCCTCCCGCAGTTTGGTCAAAGTCATGTTAGTAGCTTCGAGAACACTGTCCAACCATCTCGTCCTCTGTCGTCCCCTTCTCCTTGTGTCCTCAATCTTTCCCATCATCAGGGTCTTTTCCAGGGAGTCTTCTCTTCTCATGAGGTGGCCAATGTATTGGAGCCTCAGCTTCAGGATCTGTCCTTCCAGTGAGCATTCAGGGCTGATTTCCTTCAGAATGGATAAGTTTGATCTTCTTGCAGTCCATGGGACTCTCAAGAGTCTCCTCCAGCTACTATCACACAAAATGCTTCAAGTTTAATGTCCTCGGGGGGAAAGCAATTTTTAAAATATAGTGATGTAAGCAACTTGGCTGTCTCTTGTTAATTGTTGCTGAGCACCAGTTGGCTGAGCAGAATGGGGACTTTCTCTCATGTCCTCAGCCGGCTCTATTAGTACCCTGATTCAGGCACACTAGGAGTACAGCGAAGTCTCACAACCTGTGGCAGAAGAAAGCCAAGCTTGTTGTGACTCCTTTCTGATTCTTTAGTTATTTATAGGAATTTCTATACTGCTTAACATATAAAATACCAGAGCAATAATACAACTCTCATCATGTGGAGGTCAGACATGATATTTGCAGATTCACACTTTTTTTGCTTGACTGAGATGTGGCTAAAGAGAGCACCCTTGCCTGTTGCTCCTATGCTTTCATTTACCCTACTAGGTTATCATCATCTGAGGCTCTTCTTTGTGTGCTCCCCTCCATGAGATCCAGATGGTGGCAACACCAGAATGGGCCTTTTCTGCAGTGGCTCTCCACTTGTGGAATGATCTCCCCAGGGAGCCTCACCTGGCACCTTCATTACAGTATCAGTCTCAAACTTCATTCTGGTCACAGACCAGCATAAGATAAAACATATAGATAAACTGAACACATAAGACTTAAAACAGGTAAGGAATAAAAACTAGTAATTAAAAGGTGATTATATCATACATACTTAGAAAGATAGAAACATCGACAAACAGTTAAAAGAGACTATAAGGGAAGGGGGGTATTGGTTCTGTTTGTTACTATGTTCTGCGTATTTGAGTTTTTATATTGTAAGCTTCCATGTGGTACGCAGATGAAGGGCAGTATAAGAATTTAATAAATGAAATAAATGAATATTCCACATAGTTATAAGCAGCTGTGTTTTTCAAATAAACAACCGTGTATTTTCAAACAGAGTTGCTGAAACTAAACAAAACAGCAACATAACACTGCTGGGAAATATTTTTAAAGGTGCCTTTTTCTTCTAGAAAAGACAGCGCAGGCACAAACCTAAGTCTGGTGAAATAATTAACCATGCAGACAACACTTGGAGCTGATGGGCCACCATACTTATCCCAACCCTCATGTCTTCCCCAAAAGCTAGCGACACCACAGGAGCTATTTGCTGAGTAATTGGCACGTTTCCCTCACCAATGGTTTGTATGAAGTTGCCATACAGGAAACTCTATAACATTTGTCACTGTGCATCAAGCACAGAACCATTTCCTATTACTCCTTTTTAACCCAGAAGGTAGAGGATATGTGCCACACATGATGCCCCCTATTTCCCCCTTCCTTTCCCAGCTTATTAGCCCAAACAAACAGGAAGATAACCAATTCCTCCACAATTTAAATTAGCAGCAAGACATATTTTTAAAAGTGGACATCATATACTCAGAACTGAGGAGAAAACTGACGAATGTATACCTGAGGATTTTCAAGTATTCTTTTTACCCCTTTGATCAGGTTACCAAGGTATTTGGCACGTTCTGGGTTGCTAAATAAGGATCTCCTTGTAGAAGCAAACTGAACTAAACAAGAAAGTGCCTAGAAAGAAAACATGGATTTAATGATTTTATTCATTAACAAGATACAACCATTCCTTTTTGGACTAACGGATACCAGAAGCATCCAACACCTTACTGCTATACCAGTCAAGTTTCTTCTAGCTTAGAAAAGTCTATACATTCATGTTGGGCCAACAGCTACATTAGTCAAACACAGTCTATATTTAAAACACAGAAAGCTGTCATCAGTGTTCAAGCGCCATTAAAAACAATGCTAAATAAACTGATTCAAATAAACATATCTGTATGTACACCATCTCTACAACGGACACAATTCAGGTAGTTACTGGCTTCTGGTATGATCACATCCTAACAGAACACTAGCCAGGCAACATGGTGTTAGATACTGTGCCCTGTTGCAAGGGCATGTGCTGTGATTGCACAGCTAACCAGAAGAGCCCAGTGACTTATGCTGCATTGTGACAATGTAAGAGAGTCATAGCAACTCTGGCAATACAAGGCCAAAACTTAGTGGGGAAAGGGGCATGGTAGGGGAAGCATGGAAGAGTGGCCCATTTTGTTAGAATTCTACCCACCATTCCACAATTTGGGGATTATCTCTGGAGCAACTCCTGTATGACAGAAGTTAATATTTGAGGATATTTCTAGAGAGACGTCTAAAATTGTGCATTATTTGGAGGGAGAGATTTTTCTTCTCTCACAGACTACTAGAATCTGGGGTCACTGAAAGAAGCTGACAGAAACTTCAGTGCAGACACAGGGCACAGTCAACCTACTCACTTCCACAGGATGCAACAACAGCCACAACAGCAGCTTTAAAAGGGGGTTAGACCAAATTGTGGCTAAAAGTCATGATGGCTATTTAATAACTCCAGCATCAGAGACGACAGGGCTCTGAATAATAGTTTCTGCAAAGCACATGCAGAAGAGTGAGCCGCCCCAATATCTTCGGATGAAGGGCAGTACACAAATTTAATAAACAAACAAAGAGTGCTACTGCAACATCTAAGGACAGAGAGGTCCATGGAATTGCAACGGGAAATGCAAGGCCAAAATAAACCCACACATTTAAGCAAGGCATGTGCTTTCCGCACGTTTTTACTGTCTGTGGGCAAATACATAATTGATGGTGGGCTGAGCATTTGCTGTGGGAGAGGCTGCAGTTGTAGCTACATTTATAAATATACTGTTGATTTGCTGCTGACTGATTAGCAGAAACGTCCTGTTGCTTCCAATTGCAATTGTGTGTGCTCCCCCTCTTCTGAACTGTACCACAGAAACTCTTTTGGAGCATATAAACAGGAGTGAAATCTAAGGTGATACAAGGGGCAATTCTGGTATGACATATTCATTAAACATGTACTAATGTCCAAACAGCTTATCAGAAATCCCTTTCTTTTACTATTGGAAAAACATACTTACTAACTGAGACAGCATTGATGGGAGGGAATGATACAGATCAAAAAAGAGATCCAAGGTTTCTGGCTCCAGGAAGACTGAGAAGAGAAAGGTAAAATTATGAAATGGACAAATCCCTGCGTTACAAAGAAAATAACTTTCACAAGTTCCACTCCTCTTTTTAAAAATGGTAAGAAATATAACCGTTTAGCATTTGGTCTACACTAGCAAAAAGAAAAAGAAAAAAGCAGGCCATATAAATCATAGCCCAAACTGTTGGGACTCCTGCAGAAAATGAAATCTGCTAAGGTAGGACCACAATTTATGTGCATTTAACTTGTGCACATTCAGTTTTATGTCACAAAATAAAAATAAAAAAGAGGGCAGAAAGGAGGCAGGATTACAGGGAAAATGACGTTGACAATCCCACCCACTATTGAACCCAATGGGTTTTGACTACACGTGGTTTGGGGTTTTGGCGTGATCCCTGGAATGTAACCCCCGTGTAAGTTGCGGGCTTACTGTAACTGCACAACCCAGTTTTCTTCTTTCTAAATGGTCTCTACTTCAAGAGTACAATCCAAATTATACTAGTGCTATGTCAAATATTCACCAGTACACATTTTTACATAAAATGGGTGTCTGGGGTAGGGTGGTGATGTTTTTCCAAGCTCCCTCCCAATATTTTATACTTGTTCACCGATAATGTTAACCACTGTCAAGTGATGCTCCAATCCATGTTCTGTCCCCTTTAACTGCCTCACCTTGCTGCTGAACTGAGATCCCAGCCAACTGGGGACCATGTGTGGTCATGTTTACATCACAATGCCATGGAGCCAATCAAAATACAGCGGCATGAGAATGTCACAAAGCCAATTAAAGCTGGGGCAAGAAACATTGTGTAGGAAGTTGTGCTGCAACACACTTTCACCTGTTTGCATACTCTCCTTTGTGTCCCCCCCCCCAAAAAAAAACACACGAAACCACCACAGAGGAAAGGGGAATAAAAAGGATGTGAGCCTGCCACTGCTTAAGATCAGCACTAAATTCTACTCTTGCTATTTCAGTATTCCTTCTTTTGACTCAGCCTCTCCTTGTGACTGTCAAGCACAGGAGAAGCAGGACAATACGGCCTGGCTCCCAAACGCTGCAAACCCGGAAGTAAGTGTTCCAGTTTGCGAATATTTTTCGCAAGCCGAACATCTGACACGGCTTCCGCTTGAGTGCAGGAAGCTCCTGCAGTCAATCAGAAGCCACGCCTTGGTTTTCGAAAGGTTTCGGGAGTCGAATGGACTCCCGAAACAGATTAAGTTCGAGAACTAAGGTACCACTGTAAACCAAACCATAGCCCTGTTCCCCGTTTCATTGGTTGTCAGAGTTATGTTTAGGACAGAGCGAATATAAAGTTCTTGTTCACAGCCTATGTCAGGTTTTAGCGTATTCCTGAAAACCAACAGTTTTTGTTTCATGACCCAAATAGCTTTCTATTAACACAATGAAACAGTACCGTTTGCTATTTTAACATTATGTATGCTTACTGGTTTTTTAAAATGTCCCACAAAATACACAAATATTACAGGTATATAGAACTCTGCTTTGAAAAGTTCCTTTTTAACTAGAAGCTCTTTTCAAACAGTAGGAAAGGGAAAACATTCAAGTAAAAAACTTTAGCAATATATACACAAAATGAGAACAGGCATCTTAGTCTTTACTACTGCTCCTCCAAAGTGAAAGGCTGACATTTTTAAAAAGCTGTTCAGCACAAAGCACAGCAGCTGGAAGGTAGGGAGACCCACAGAATATAGTTTGCACATACTTCTTAAGTACATTATCTAACCGAAGCTTTCTAATGGACCAATGAAGCAACCACTGTAGCAACAATGTACGCTATTTAAAAGCTTCCAGAGTAAGCAAAATGGATGTACTAGAGAGAAAAGAAAGATTGCACTCTACAGACTACTGTTGCTGTATACACGTTGCCCATTTTAACTTTCATTAACTTCTCTTCCGCTAAAGAATTATTAACTTAAAGCAGTTTTCACCACTAAAGATGGGTTCAATGAAACATTCTATTTAGATAGGGAAGGACTGGGAGCAATATCACTGTTAGTTGGGCATGGATTCACCTGCACTTTTTCAAGAGAATATTTGCAAAATAGCAATTATAGAAGAACAGCTAGATGGACAATGGGAGGGAAGGGTATTAAGGGGAATATTCAGGAGGGAAAGAATAAGAAAAGGTGAAGGAAAAAGGAATGAGGGGATTTTTGTGACTGTTGCCCCTTGGCACTTCCTCAAAATTCCAAATGTGCCCACTGACCAAAAATGGTTGGTGATCCCTGTTTTTAGGGTATATTATAGTCTTAGTATCATGGAACTCCATAGTACATCATTGTGCCCCTGTATTATTAATACTAACACTTCAGAGGCTAGCAGGGGAAAAGAAACAAAATTAGTACAAGATTATTTCATTGGATACCAACCACCCTGAAGCATCACGTATGACAAATATAAACCATGGCCCCTTACATTACATATTGACTGCGTGGCTCAGACTTCACATGCAAAGAGTTCAATTCTACCCAGGACTACTGTCCAAGTTCAGGGAATTAAGGTGTGGGACTGCAAATGGTTGTGAGCTGCGAAATATAGGAAGTTTTGTCATGACAGTTCCTCTCCCAACCCATAGAATTTTTTATTTTTTTTTGCAACTAATATCATGATCAAAAATACCCCCATAAGATAGAATGCCTTTAGATGCAAAACAGATATTCAACTTCAATTGTGTATAGTCATGGGCACCACCTAAAATGTTAGGTTATCACCATTAATTAATTCTCTTACTTGATCTCCAGTTTGTTGGGATCTGTACAGTGCACAGATCATCTGCAGATTCATCTGCTGAACTGCCAATGAAGTCATAGTTAAGACAATTGAGGACAAGTTTCAAAAGGTGCATTGCTAGATTTTGTTGTTGCTGATCCTGAAGATTTAATGGTTTTGCCAACATCTAAATCCAGACCAAAAAAAGAAAAAAGAAGTGTGTGTCAGTAACTGGCCACATTCACATATCATAGTCTACCTCGCAGACAGAAGCTTCTTCCTTTCTCACCTATTGAGAGCAACAAAGCATGATCCCTCTCCTAGCAATATGTCCAAACAAGGGGCTGTGGGGGTTTTTTGGGGGCTCATACAAATCACCATCAGGTCACACCATAAAGATGAGAAGAGCCTTGCTGGATCAGATCAAAGGTCCATCATGTCCAGCATCCAAAAGCCTACAGAAAGCCCACAAGTGGGATATGAATGTAGCAACGATCTCCCCATTTGTGAACCTCCTTGGGATCTATGAATGAAGGGCAGTATGCAAGTTTAATAAATAAAAACAAATTAATAAATTCGTGCTTCCTAGCAACTGTTATTCAGAGGCACAGAACATAGCAATCATGGCTAGTTACCATGTATATCCTTATCCTCCATAAATTTGTCTAATCTGCTTTTAAAATAACTAAAGATGGTGGTCATCTTATGGAAAGGAATGCTGCAGTTTAAGTATGCACTGTGCAAAGCAAAAAATGAACTATGATCGCCAGCATAATTTATCATTGCAAGCCAAGGATCCTGGTTTGCTGCTCTCACTGTGGGAAACGCTACATGGGAGCTACCTGAACATTCATGGTAAAATATGAACTATGGGCTGGATTTAACTAAATAGACACACTCGTGGAAGCCAGTGGACTGAGTTCTGCTATTGCAATGGGACTTCCCCTCCTGCCTCCCCCAATGGGCTCTGGGGGATCTGGAGAATTCCCAGAACAGTGTGTGGGGTAAAGAGAGGGGAGATCATTCTGTGTGGCAAGCTGAAATTTTTGCACTGGTGGAACAACTGTAGTAGCAAAGCACTGAATTGTACCCTGTGGTTTGCCTTGACACCCAACGGTAACCAATCCAACGATAACCATTCTGAGACCCCCTGGTATAGGGCAGTATATAAATTCAATTAATAATAATAATAAGCAAAAATCGCTTCTCTTGGTTTATTCCAAAAATAAAGTTGCAGTATAAACCACCATCATGCTTCAGAAATTTAAGTGGAGACAACATAGAGATGGACCCGATGGGGGCAAGCAGGGAGAGAAATAAATGATCTGCTGTCCCTCTGTTCTGCACCCATCCATCCATCACCAAGGCTTCTCGCGGATCTGCACTGAAATAAGCCTATTCATGTGTTTACATTACACCACGTTCAGTGGCTAGTTTAACTTTTCACCACAAATGTCTGCCAGTATCAATCAGCTGTACCTCTCTCTTAATTACACTGGAGCAAAGAGTATTATTTGTTAAAAACCCAGCATATGTGAGCTTTACTGGCAAGAGTTCTGTTTCAGGCTGAATTTGTAAGTTAGACTTATCATAGACAGGTACAGATGTATATTCTGCATCTGATTCCAATTGTGAATTCATCTCTATTCTACTATGTTCTATTCTGTTGCTTGTTCAACAGCAAACAATGTTCTGGTGGCATACTAATTTTGCTCAAAAACAAATGCAATTATTAGCCACTTGGGTAAAGCTGGGATGGATCAGTCGGTAGAGCATGAGACTCTTAACCTCAGGGTAGTGAGTTTGAGACCCATGGTGGGCAAAAGATTTCTGCATTGCTGAAAATTCTATCTTTATAATACAGCTTGTGTTTAGGCCTACCTCTTTCAACAGCGAGCATGCCAGCATCAAAATGTCTTTTAAAGTAGTATCACGAAACGAGGTAGCTATTTTACGATGCTTTGATGAAGGTCTAGAATAATCAACCTTAAAATAAAAATTAAAAAACACTTCAGAATCAGTGTCTCTTCATTTTGACTTGATAAAACATATTACTTGTATGTGAGCTACAAGAAAATTATTGCGCAACAGGAGGTCTACATCCTATTATTTAATTCATATGATCCTCCTTACCCACATGTTCTTAGTTTTGTTTCCCTCTATTTGTGTTAAGCCTAATTTGAAACAGATATACAAATTTGACTTCTGTCTGGAACTCAATATCCATGCAAAATACAAGTGGGTCTGAAATTACTGTGGGGCGTGTGCTCTAAAATGAACAGGAACAGAGTTCAGGTGGAGAAAGTCATTCAGAAAAATAGTCCTCCAGACATGCAGAATCTGTACCCTACAATCCTCAAATATAAAATATAGTTCCCAGAACTATACATATCTAATACCAGGACACTTAGTTTAGAATATTCAGTCATTACGGAGGACAGTTCCTTCATAAGTGCAGCCAAACTACTTTGCAAAGCCAGCAGTGACACCTCAGTCCAAATCTATACGTTAGGGTCAAGTTCCACTGATTCAACTGAACTTGCTTCAAAGCAAGTGTGCATAAAATCATATTGATATGAAACCAGAAGAGATGGAACAAAGTATAAAGGACAATCATTCCAAGTAGGATAAGGATTAAGCAGAACTCCTAAAAATTCTTAGGATGCATTCACAAGAGACTTAAATCACTTATTAAATTCCTGCATCTCTATACAGTGGTGCCCCGCAAGACGAATGCCTCGCAAGACAGAAAACCCGCTAGACAAAAGGGTTTTCCGTTTGCCAATGCGCTTTGCAAAGGACGAATTTCCCTATGGGCTTGCTTCGCAAGGACCAAAAACGTCTGCGAGTCTCGCCCATTTTCCCCCGCTTTCCCCCCTTTTTCTAAGTCGCTAAGAGCCTTTAGCTAGCCGAAGCCGCTAAGCCTTTAACTAGCGCTAAGCCGCTAAAACCGCTAATAGCGCTAATCCGCCTTAGCCGCGAATGCGGTTTGCTTCGCAAGACGAAAAAACCACTAGACGAAAAGAATCGCGGAACGGATTCTTTTCGTCTTGCGAGGCACCACTGTAATCGCATCACACCAACTCATATTGTGCAAGTTGAACTGCTAAAAAAAATTCATATTGCTAAGTGTAACTCCCTCACCATTTTAGTGGAGACGTCATCACACACACAAGAAACATCCATATACTAGGCTTCTCTATAGCAAAAATTACAATCAGCAAACAGATGGTACATATCTGTTAAGAATGTACATCTACCATGTCAATTTGTGTAGCACAGCTTTTTCTGATGACCATTATCAAACCTAAAATTGGCCACGCTAAACACCACATGCAAGGTTCAAGGGGAGAAGAAAATGCCACTTTAAAGTATCACCTTGGATTATACTTCAAAGCAAAGGCAAGCTAATGCAAATAATGACAATCAAGAACCCTGCTCTCCTTCCCTTCAATCTTCTCTTTGGTTTCCTCCAAAATGATAAAGACTAATAGTCTTTGCAGCCCTTAGTGGGATGTGGATAGGATTATTAAAAGCTGAAGAACAAGTGAGAGAACATTTCTGCATCTTTCCTCTCTTAACCTATTTCCTATATGCAGGGTGCATTTGCCTGCACTTCTGTGTTGCACGGAAAAGTGTGATTACTTGATGTGGCTGGGGGGCGGCATGTGGTTTCTTTGTCCTTTTTCAGAGTATTATAACTGATTCTAGCAACTGTTGGATGGGCCACATTCCCTGCAACCCATTTCTCTGCTTCATTCCATTAAAAACCTTTCTTAGGCAATTTTTTTACTTTTTACAATGTACAGCAGCTTCCCAATTTTCAGCCCCATAAGACACTCTGACCATTCTCTTGACAGCGTAAAAGAATTTCGAGAGGAAAGAAGTGCACTTACAAAATTCATTTCCTGAGTCAGTTCTGAAAGAATCATTACTCCTATTATGCAGTGGTCCACAGTCCCCTACAGCATATAGGGAAAAAAGTGTTAATGTTCCAAAATGAATGTTTTAGGTGGCTTTTAATCTCAGGTAGGTATTCAGCACCGTGCTTTTCTGATCATTCTGTCAGCTGAAGCATTTCTCCCAACCCTGCAGAGAAGATTTGGGGGAAGCAACAGGGTACATGGTGGGGAGGAGAAGAGGAAGACCACTGAGCTAGCAAGAGCCCTTACACTAGCTTCTGCTAGAGCAAGGTTTCCCAAACCTGGGTCTCCAGCTGCTTCTGGACTACAACTCCCATCATCCCTAGCAAGCAAGCATCAGTGATGGTGGGAATTATAGTCTGAAAACAGCTGGAGACCCAAGTTTGGGAAACACTGAGTTAAGACGAATCTGGCCATTTTTATCCATATTATCTCCATATTATCATAACAAATATGATGGCCAGCACAAACGTCATCAAGTAGGTAGGGCTGTCCCCATACATTCTCGTGGCCCCTTCAGTACCCACAAGTACTAACACCTGAGTGCCTATATCAGGGAGGAGGGAGTTTCTCTGCTATCAGAAGCACATGAGGTTGCCTTATATTAGTTCAGACTATTAGTCTTGCTAACCCAGTTAAGTGCCATCTACTCAAATTGGCCTTGGCTCCTCAATGTCTTAGGCAATCAGAACAAACCATTCCACAGCCCTACACAGCCAAACTCCAGGAATGGCTGGCAAACTTACTGCTATACTAGGCAAGACAGATATATTTACAAATTTAAACTGGACTCCCCCTCCCCGTTTTCCCCTATTTAATGACAATCCAAACACTTGTGCCCACGACTTAATATTTATTGCTGATCAACATCTCTATTTTAAATGGTAAGTTCAGCTGGGAATTAGAAATATGGTTTCATTTTGTCTCCCAAAGGAAAATAATTCAGTGAAGGAAGTCTCCCAAGAAGCAAAGTTTTGAGTTTGAATCTCTATTATTAATGAATTAACTACAGCAGATTCACACTTCAAACATTTTAATAATAAATGTAAAATCAAATTACATTAATAAAAATAACTGCAAAACAGCCGCAGTATTCTTCCCATATTTGTTGTTAATGAACACAAGGCCATTTTTATCACACTTTCCTAATGATTTTAAAGTGCATTAACTGTAACATATTACCAGCTTTCCCCCCTCATGCAAAAATAGAAACAGAATATAATGACATTTAACAGCAGATGGTTTCACATTTGTGAAACCAGGATCAGTTTAAATCTCATTTAGCCATTAACATATTGGGTAGCCGAAGACAAACAACTCTTACAGTCAGTCCTTTTCCCATATCCGGATAATACTACTCCCTCATACCACACTCTGGGAAGGATTACTCAGATAAAAGTATATCAAACACTTTTTGAGCACCAATAAATCTAAGTCTCACAATCATAAGTTCCCTTTGCTAAATAATTCCTTATCTCCTTCACCACTCCCACTCAGTGCTAGAGATTTTATCTGACAAAAGGAGTTGTGGTTGGCAAGCATCAAAGATTTACCAGGAGGAAAAACACTCAATCCACCACTTTGGTTTGAATATTCAGTTTGCAGCTACTATTTACTTTCAAATTAATTTGTAAAAATTCCATGACAACTCTACTTCCACCTAGGCTAGGTAGCAAAAACTACCTAATCTAAGCTTTGATGATAAAAATACATTTCTCATTCCAAGTTAAGGGAACTCATTTCCCCACACAGAAAAATAACCCCCTTGGAAACTGCCTTCCTCTTTTAACTCCCCTTGCCTTACATAATTTGAAACAAATGAAGTGCCTTTTCTATTTAAATTTTTAAAACTATTGAACTGAACAGGTGAGAAGACAGGAGCATGACAGCAACCATCTTGGCCATAAGAATCACAAGAAGAGAATCAACACACAGTCCTGGGTATAAATTATCAATTATTTCTCAAGGTAAGCACCACCCATAGGTAGGGAAAACCTTAAACAGGCATTTCCAGGACTTGGGCATTACCTTAACTCTTGTTATTTCTTGAAGGTTTGAGTTTATAGCCGGCACTCCAGATGTTGTTGGACTCCAACTCCCAACAGCCCCAGCCAGCATGGCCAAAGGTCAGGAATGATGGGAGCTTGAGTCGAACAACACAAAACAGAATATTTAATATAAAATAAATGGATCCCCTCTTATCTACTTGGGTTAGCATAGCTTCCCAAATCTGGTTGGGGCTTCATATGCATGTGGATTTCCTGTATATACAAAAGCCTTCTCATTCACCAGAGTCTCTACATATGCTGCCCCTACTATTAACAGGCAAAGGAAACTTTGGTGCAAATGACACATCATTGTTTTTATTCAGCACTAGAAGTTTTTATTCAGCACTAGCTCCACTCAGCAGCAATCCCTGGCACTGCTGGACCGACATGGAAGAAAGTACCAGTACAGAGCAGAAATTATTGAAAGGAGATGCAACCAACTGTTTTTAGCATCACCTCCCCGGCAGCCCCATACATCTCCTTAGTGCCAATGCAACATGACACTAGCAAGAGGTCTATTTCAATGCTACATTTTTACATCCATTTTTCATCCAGTTGCATCATTTTCTACAGCACTGTTCTCATGACAAAGTCATAAATAGTCTCCGCCTTAAGTCAGCTCTTCTTTTATATTTCAGGCAGTTCTTAATCGTACAATTTGCAGCTGACTGAACTACTTTCTCCATTCTGTGTCTCCTCCTTAGGATCATATGGCATTTAAAATATGTGACTACTATATTTAATACAGAAATGTTTTTAACAAGCAGTCATGTTCACTTTCTCTTACCTGCAAAAACTTTTTAACATCAGCAATAATGTCTCTAAAGATGAGCTGGTCTTTCTGAACATCAAACCAACCCAACTTTGTGATCTTAGCAATTACTTGAACAAGAGCTTGGATCACAAAAAGGGCCAGTTTTGGTCGAGATGCAACATAGTTTAATATGTAGTTTCCTGTACCGAAATACCAAAAATTAAATCAAAATTATTTTATGTTCAATACATCAAGTTGTTCTAAGTTATGTTGTTACTGTGAAATACACGGATTGAGTCTCCAGAAGACCAGATCTTAAAAACTGTATAGTAATATTCCTAATTAAATGCTTCAAAGGCAAGTGCAGGTATTCTAGTGCTATTATTAAAGTACAATTACTCAAGAAATAGTATTTTTGAGAAGGCCGAACATGTCAGCTGAATGTACAAGAAAAATGTCCAGTGCTGTTCATAAGCATAGTGCTTCCATGCCAAAACCAAAGCTCAGGGATAGCCAAAACAGTGCCTGCTTGTCTCTGTGGGGATTACAGATTCCATCACCCCAAATCACTGGCCATACTGGACAGGGCCAATGGGTGTTACAGAACAAGCACACTGGCTACTTCTGCTATAACTCAACAAAACTACCAAGGTTATGGGAACAGCTTACCAGACTCACTTTTAGTTCTCTAAAGATTCCACAACTGTTTGGTGTTTCCTGGCAGACAAGACCCTGCAGGAAACTTGTGTATGCTATACCTTGTGAGCTTCCAGTTGCCAACTGGAATCAATCACCATGTGCCCTATTATTTTGGTTAGTTTGGTTTGATTATGCTATGTCAGGGTGCTATTTTGCTTTTAAATTTCTTAGAAGGCTTATTTCATTACAACATTCTATAAATAAATCTTTTCTTCCCCCTTTACAAGTATTCACTTTCCCCCATTTATTCTAAAGCCTCTTGCCTATCAATGAGCCCTAAACAGCTTGGTGACAGGTTTACTTGGAGATATTATTTCAGAATCTGTGAAGATGAGAGTCTGAAAAGTCTCTGTATTAAACAAGAAATTAGCCGAGCAACCATATCAGCTCCAGATGTTCTGTTTATTAATCAGCTCTCTACCATCATTGATCCTGGGACACGGGTGGCGCTGTGGGTTAAACCACAGAGCCTAGGACTTGCCGATCAGAAGGTCGGCGGTTCGAATCCCCGCAACGGGATGAGCTCCCATTGCTCAGTCCCTGCTCCTGCCAACCTAGCAGTTCAAAAGCACGTCAAAGTGCAAGTAGATAAATAGGTACCGCTCTGACGGGAAGGTAAACAGCATTTCCGTGTGCTGCTCTGGTTCGCCAGAAGTGGCTTAGTCATGCTGGCCACATGACCCGGAAGCTGTACGCCGACTCCCTCGGCCAATAAAGCGAGATGAGCGCCACAACCCCAGAGTCGGTCACGACTGGACCTAATGGTCAGGGGTCCCTTTACCTTTACCATCATTGATACAAGTAGGCAACATGCTCATGACAGCATGGCTCAGAATAAAGATCCAAATATGGTTTGTCTCCCTTAAATGTTAAGTCCCTGGACTAGAACTATAGGCAAGTACTATTAGCAAAACTCTTTATTACTGAAGCCTAAAGAGCTAAGCAAATATTTGATGCTAACCCCACATACATAGGTTCCTTAAACAAGAAGGAGACTTAAGCTTAGACTTAAACAAGAGCGTCAATCACAAAATGGGCTGGTTTTGATGGAGCTGCTGCACAATTCAGTATGCAGCTGACTTCTCCAAAATACCCCAGATAAAACATACTTTTCCTTTGTTATTAACTGATAAACTAACTCCATATTTTAGGTCATTTCAATAAATACTGAAGGTCATGTCTTACAAGACTTTTATACTAAGGGACTGATGCCCAAGCACGCATGTACCACATTAATTATGAAAGAGTCACAGATATTTGTGAATTTTGTACTCTTATGCCCACACCCAAATACAAAATATATCTTATGTGGAGCAACTGAAGTCAATTTTTGTTAGCACATCTATTAACATTTATTTTTTATTTTTATTAGAAAGCAGGTGAGGAAGATGCCTGCTGCTGCATTTGTTTGACAGATCAAACCTAGTTAAGGGAGTTTAAGTATTTGAGTTCAGTACTACTGAAAGCAATGGGACAGTTTAAAATAAATGCATTTACAACAAGGACATACATGTACCTAGGCTCCTGATCAAATTCTTAGGCTTTTTAATTCATGCAATACAAACACACCCACATGTTTACACATTTTGTCCCATAAAAAATAAAGGACAACACAAATTCTGGATCACATCTTTATCACATCTTAATCTGATTTTTCTGGAAGTTAGAAACATCAACAGTTTTTCAAAGAATGATAAAGTATATAGCAGCTATAAATGAAGAACACCTAAAATCATTCTGACTGGCAATCTTAAACTCTTTGACTAACTACTAGGGCAATTTGAAATTTGTATCATTACACAAAAAAATACCCTACTGCAATACTGAAAGGAATAAATAATACTTACTGATGTCCATCCTTTGCTGAACAGGTAAAGGAGGTGTTTTGCACACAAGTTTTGAGAGGCATGTTGCTGCTAACAGTTGTGCATAAGAGGTCTAGGGGAAAATGCACACAATTCAGGTGGCAGTAATAACTATTCATTTTAAAAAATCCTTAAATGGCATCCAAAAATATAATCTTGCAACATCTCCTAAAACCTTGCTGTGACAAATTTGCTCTACTTACTTGGATGTGTGCATTTTGATACAATTTACAGCTGAGTCCTGAGATTTACTATGTAAGCAACATGGGATTAAGACACGTACTATATTTATCTATATTTATTTAAAAGACGCCTGCTTCTTTAATTTATTTAATTTATTTATTTATCTATATTTATTTAAAAGACGCCTGCTTCTTGGGAGAAGGGCAATGACAGGCCTAGATAGCATCTTGAGAAGTAGAGACGTCACCTTGCCAACAAAGGTCCGTATAGTTAAAGCCATGGTTTTCCCAGTAGTGATTCATGGAAGTGAGAGCTGGACCATAAAGAAGGCTGATTGCCGAAGAATTGATGCTTTTGAATTATGGTGCTGGAGAAGACTCTTGAGAGTCCCATGGACTGCAAGAAGATCAAACGCATCCATTCTGAAGGAAATCAGCCCTGAGTGCTCACTGGAAGGACAGATCGTGAAGCTGAGGCTCCAATACTTTGGCCACCTCATGAGAAGAGAAGACTCCCTGGAGAAGACACTGATGCTGGGAAAGATGAAGGGCACAAGGAGAAGGGGACGACAGAGGATGAGATGGTTGGATAGTGTTTTCGAGGTTACCAGCATGAGTTTGACCAAACTGCGGGAGGTAGTGGAGGACAGAGGTGCCTGGCGTGCTCTGGTCCATGGGGTCACGAAGAGTCAGACACGACTAAATGACTAAACAACAGCAACAACATATTTATCTAACAGCTATATATTATTTTCAAGGATATGCCTATAAAATATACACAGGGTCAGACCTTCATAGACCCTACAGTCCCTCCTTTTAAATCACGGCTCTCTCAGAACAACTAAAGCAACATCAGTGAGGCCAAGAGAGGAGTTTGTTATCTGGGCAGCCCAGGACCTCCATACACATTGCCCAGGCTTGCGCCCCAGGGAAGTCACTTCAGTGCTGCTAACACAGCAATTTGACTTCATCCTTGGAGGCGCACTCCATTGTCTCTCAAGACAAATGGCTCCCAACAACAACCCAGTACCGTCCAGATGGTTTGGGCTACAATTCCCACCATCCCTCATCACTGACCAAGTTGCCTGTGGCTGAAGGACATTTAGTCCATACTCTCTAGACCCTACTGCAGACTTCATACTGCATAAATGCATAAATGCATACTGCATAAATGTGGCCCCTTCTGCCTCTGAGCTCTATAAGTTAAGGGGACTCTTTCTCTGTCCGTAAGCAGGAAGAGAGATGTTCAACCTGAATACATATATTTGATCTGCCGGATCATAGCTTTAGACTGATAAACTTGGAGAGTCTAGAATGATTTCACCATTTTACCCAGGGGAGCTAATATTTCATTTGTGTAAACCAAGCCATTATCATGTGGAATGGTACGCCTGATTAACTCCTAACTTATGCATAAATATGACATATTTGCTATGTTCTTCTAAAGTATTAATGCTTGTACAAACCTTATCCATAATGGGGGGGGGGTGTCATTTGAAAATCAAAACAAGCAAAAGAAAAAGCACCTCCAATGATTACGTTGCAGCCAACTTATTTTCATTGGGGTTGGAGGGAATCTCCTTTTAATCTACAAAAGTTCATTATCACTACTTTCAAATCTCACACTACTGTTTATGAAAAGCAGAGAAAGGATGGGCATTTAATGAATGTGTATTTAGATAATAAAGTTTGAAGCACTTACTGTTCCTTGTTCCAGTAAAAGCTGGCATTGGCTAAGACATTCAGGACTATTAATAAGCTCCAGGAGCACCTTTTCTGCTTGTATTCGCTGTGCTAAGTCTGTCCCCTCGTAGAGCTGTTTACAAAGAACTTCTAGCTCTGCCAGACTCTGCTGGGGGTAAAAATCAGACATGAATTGCCCTCCGTTAATATCCTCACAGTACTATTTATTCATGCACATTGATATAGAATATGAAAGTCAGAATGGGCTGTATACAAGTCATATTCATAACTACCTTAATACCATTCATCTCAATGGGTCTTTCCTGAGTATCACTACCATATTTACTGGAATCCAACGCTCACCTTTTTTGGCCAAATTGCGTTGCGAAAATTAAGGTACGCATTAGATTCGATGGCACATTTACATTCACCATCAAATACTTTTTTTTGTTTCAAGGTTCTGAAAATTGAGGTGCATGTTAGATTCAATGGCGCATTAGACTCGAGAAAATATGGTAAAGTCAGATACAATCAACTCACATCTTTTGTTGGGGTTATGTTCCAGAGACAGCACATAAAACCACAATTGCATGTAGTCAAAAAAACCATTTTAAAACTGGGAAATGGCCTGTAATACTCTCCTAAGGTCACACACACACTCTAACTGCACCTCCAAATGCAAGTGCAATTGCAGGTGGAATTGACTATGTTTTCCTCCCAGCCTACTGCCCACCCTCCCACCTTGCCAAGTGCATAAACTTGAAATCACATTGGTTAAATGCACATACATTGCAAGTGCAACCCTGTGTGTTTAAATAATGAAGTATCCCTAAGCCATTGCCAAGGGGTAGGGAGGAAGGACACAGGGGATGCTCATCCAATTCCTCCCACTCACAGCTCAAAAGTAATTTGTTCATTTATCTCCCAAGAAAAATATCCTAGCACTGAAGTAGAATATGTGCAAAGGAAACAGGGATTATTTGTCAGATCCAAAATGGAAGATCATGCACAAGCAATTAAATTTCCTTGAGCATCTAAATCAGCAATATTTTTTCTTGCAATTAACAAACAAGAAAGCAGGCAAAGTTAACAGTAATAATCAATATTTTCAGTGCTGCTTTTGGTCTTTGCCATTTATTTCCCACTAACCAAGAAAGAAAATAAATTTAGTTTCCACCTCATCACTTGTGAGGTGTGGGATATCCTTCCTAATCAAAGGAAGAATCAAGGTGCATGAATAACTTTTGCCCAAATACACTGTGATTCCCTCCTCTCTCAGGTATATAGGTTAAATATAATAACAGTTAGGAAAACATACTGTGTCCACACAGTTAAAACACAGTAAGCTTGAATCTCATCACCATAAAACTTAGGAGTATTCACATATTACTGGGGATGCAGGAGTATTAAGACAAAACTAACAAAGTGGATGTACAGTGGTATCTTGGTTTATGAACTTAATCCACTCCAGAAGTCTGTTCTTAAACCAAGGCATGCTTTCCCACAGCAGCAGGGGACTCAATTTACAAATGGAACACACTCAACAGGAAGCAAAACATGTTCTTATTCCAAGGCAAAGTTCACAAACCAAAACACCTACTTTCGGGTTTGCAGCTTTCTTAGTCCAAGTTGTTCATAAACTAAACTGTTCTTAAACCAAGGTACCACTGTAATCTGGTTAAACAGATTTCAAACAAAGTGAAATGTTTGTTGAGCTGCTCTTAGTGAAAGATTACGCTGAATATCTATAATTGCCCTTTGTAAGCAGGGTGCATGTCAAGGTACAGTCATTACCCTAGTAATAGCAACTTCATATGAAGGACAATTATTAGATGATTATCAAAGTACATAAAAATACAAAGTGCTTAACACTGCCCCTTCTCTACCCTAACAACATATTGTTTTCACAGGGAGTTAGACGTCTCCTTCTGGGATGTCTATTAGCATCTATTGGCCATGATAGCTAAACAGAACCTCCATGCTGAAAGGAATGATACCTTCACCTTCTTACCTACTTGTAAGGTTTATGGGGTACCTGGCTAGCTAGACTGGCTCAGTTCTGGTCCAGCATGTCCATTTTATGTTCTTAGGGCAGGGATGAGAAAGATATGGTCTTCCAGATGTTACTAGATTCCAGTTCCCATAAACCCCATTCATGATCACAGATAATAGCCATTGTAAGCCAACAACATCTGAAGGGCAACAGCTTGTCTACCCTTGCCTTAGCCAGAAGAGAGTAAATTTTGTTGAATATGTAAATATGTCCTAAAACTGAAATAAACAATTGAATTTTTACCCAATAGATATCAAATATTTTTCTTTTCTGTTCCCAAAAGGAAAGGACTGGAATAGGGTATTCTTGGTCACTAGCCAAAAGGGTGTTTCACCAACTTTTTCTCTACCTTCCGCAAACTCAGATGTGCACCAACTAGAGGCCCCAATATGTCCCCTCATTGTTTGCATGAGTGCAGTCATGATGCAAATACAAACTTCAAGTAGTGTTATGTACCTCGTACCTCTAATGGACAGAAAGAAATCATCACAAGTATTTGTAAGCCACCTTTCATTCCAAGGTAGCATAGGCGCAAAATTCAAACAACAGATTCAATAAAAATAATACCAATCAAATAACTAAAGCCAGCCAGGAGATAATATCAGAAGTATACAACCGGAGTTTAAAAGCTCCAGCAGATTGAGCATTAACTGCTCTTCTATGGGCAGCTGATATTTCAGACGTTACACTTCATGGTGACACATTGAGAGAAGCTTCATATCAACAGGATCTAGAGCCTACCCATTCCCCCAACAAGGGGAGGAGTCTAGGGCAGGCATACCACCACCCAACACATACACACTTCCCAAAAACTGTCAGGGCTCTGGATTGGGCTATTATTTCACTGAGGATTCACCCACTGCCCTCTTGCTTTGTCCAAGAGTCAAGCATGGAGATCAGGCAAACTTCCCTTTTCTACAGAAAAGGAGTCACCACCAGTAGATGCCAATCAAGCCACCCTTGACAATGGAATTCACAATCACTTATCTCACTTCTCAGGGGTGAGATAATGCAGGAAAATACATTCCCTAAAATATCCCAGACCCAGACTTTTTAGAGATTTAAAGGTTAAAAACTGATGTTGAACATGTCAAACTTGGCTTTAATGCTTTAAGCAGATAATCCCAATGTGTGGTGAATAGATTCCAGACATGATTTAAAGTTGTAAGAGATAATCTGGTGGGAGTTTGTTTATTTTTTTCCAATGGATATAAAACAAGAAAAATAGCTGTAACAGAGTATCAGAAACAGAGAAAAGAAAGGCCAAACCAAACAAATATCTAGGAGTGTCAAACAAGGACATTTGTCCATGAAGGCAACAATTGTTCTTATGTAATTAAAATACATTGGTGTTATGTGTAATTCAAATTCACAGTTTTGAGAAATAAATGTTTTGTTTGGTGCTTGAAATAGAATATATTAAAAAGGTGGGGGTGAACTTACATTAAATTTGATCTGGATAAAGAAGATAGCATAACTTTGCAAGTTTGGTGCCACATGCTCTCTGCATGCTTGCATACATACACATTTGTGTCTTTCATGACACAAACAAATAGTTATACATGCATACATGTGTGTGCCTTTCAAGGCACAAATAGTTATACACAAACGCACATGTGTCTTTCAGGGCACACACCAGTAAGTTATACACACATTGACATGTGTCTTCAAGACACACACAAAGAGTTATACATGCATACATGGCACAAAAAATTATACACTAATGCACATGTGTCTTTCAGGGCACACACCAGTAAGTTATACACACACGCACATGTGTCTTTCAAGACACACAAAGAGTAATACATGCATACATGGCACAAAGAAACAGTTATACACAAATGCACATGTGTCTTTCAAGGCACATACCAGTAAGTTATACACAAATGCACATGTGTCTTTCAAGACACACACAAATAATTACACATACACACACCTGTGTCTTTCATGGCACACAGAAATAGCTGTACACAAACGCACATGTAACTTTCCATGACACACACAGTTATATATAAAACAAAAAAAAATATCCTTCCAGTAGCGCCTTAGAGACCAACTAAGTTTGTTATTGGTGTGAGCTTCCGTGTGCATGCACACTTCTTCAGATGCACACGAAAGCTCATAACCAATAACAAACTTAGTTGGTCTCTAAGGCGCTACTGGAAGGAATTTTTTTTTATTTTGTTTCAACTACAGCAGACCAAGACGGCTACCTACCTGTAACTACAGTTATATATATGTACAGAGATACATACATATATATGTCTATATATAGATTAGATATAGATATAGTTGACATCCCTCTATCTTGAAAGGCGTGTGTGTGTGTGTGTGTGTGTGTGTGTGTGTACATATATAAATCCTGTCAGGACATCCTTTCCCCCCTACCTTTCCCCGACCCACACGATCCCCGCAGCCCCCACCTCCCCCAGGCGTCCCTTCCTCGCCGCATCCCCAACGGACGTGGGGGGCGGTGGGGCAGCCTTCCTCTCCCGCCCGCCCCCCCACCCCTTCCCCCCGGGGCTGCGCTGCCGCCCCGCTCGGCCGGCGGCCTACCCGCCCCCCCCCCCCGCGTCCCACTCCCCACGGGGACGAGCCATCTCCCCGCCACGCAACGGTCAGGCTCCGGGTTCGACGCCGCCGCCGCCGCCGCCCGGGGCGCCCACTGACCTGGCCGCTCAGCGCCATCTTCCAGCGGGGCGGGAGGGCGACGCCGCGAGCAGCCCGGGCCGGAGGAGGAGAGGGGAGGCCCGGCGGGAGGAGGCGGAGCGAGAGGAGGCGGCGGCGGCGGCGGGGAAGGGGTTGAGGGGAGCACCGCGGAGGGAGGAGAGTAACCAGGCCCCTCGCGGCCCTCTGAAGTATTTCCGCGCGTGTTTCAAATCCCCCCGCCTTATCTGGCCTCGTTTGAACTCGACGCGTGTCAAGGGCGCCGACCTGAACGGACTGACAGGCGGGCAGGTTGAGCCCCGCCCACAGGGTTGGTCACGTGTCACGGCACACGCGCGCTATTTGAATGGCAGTGTCCATCAACCTGGGGGCGGGGTGAGGCAGCCCCTTCAAATATATATATATATTTTTTGGGGGGAGACCCCCCCTAGGAGTTGACCCCTATCAGTGTGGATTTACATATAAGCTCAACAAGCTCTAGTTTAGGGCTCCACTCTCTTGGGGTCCCCCAAAAATGTAAAGAGAAAAAAAAAGGATGTACATTTCCAAAATGTAAGATAAAAAAGAAATAAAATAAAACCTACATACAGCAACAGTGTTTTGTGTTGTGTAGGCTCCTGTTTCTTATGTGCAAATGGCTTTAGATGCCTATTAGGTCCATCAATTACCACATAAGCGTATACAGTGGTACCTCAGGTTACAGATGCTTCAGGTTACAGACTCCGCTAACCCAGAAATATTACCTCAGGTTAAGAACTTTGCTTCAGGATGAGAACAGAAATCATGTGGTGGCGGCGCGGCAGCAGCGGGAGGGCCCATTAGCTAAAGTGGTGCTTCAGGTTAAGAACAGTTTCACGTTAAGAACGGACCTCCAGAACGAAATAAGTACTTAACCCGAGGTATCACTATTCAACAGAAAAAAATAGTGACAATTTGTTGTTGACAAAGGACAGCTGGACATATACCTTCAGTAGCTTAGGGCAGGGGTCAGCAACCTTTTTCAGTCATGGGCCGGTCCACCATCCCTCAGACCATGTGGAGGGCCAGACTATATTTTGAAGGGGAAAAAATGAACGAATTCCTACGCCCCACAAATAACCCAGAGATGCATTTTAAATAAAAGCACACATTCAACTCATGTAAAAACACACTGATTCCCGAACCGTCTGCAGGCCAGATTGAGAAGGCAATTGGGCCACATTTGGCCCATGGGCCTTAAGTTGCCTACCCCTGGCTTAGGGCCACATCAAACCTAAATACAGCCCTGACCCCTATGATACATGTGCGAAAGGCGCACTTTCATAACAAGGTCTCTGGACCCCGGGGAGCTAGGGTTGGGGGTTGCCAAATAGGCAGAGTTGGCGCCAGTCTACGGGCCTTTTGGGGGTCAAAATAATATTGATTTGGTTTGGCTGGTAAAATCAAAAACGTATTAGGAGATAATTTGCGAAGGGCCCTCTGAGATTGCGACTGCCTAGGCCCTAAGGGCCCGCCATAGGGTTCAATCCAGCGCTGTTGCCACCTGTCCTGTATAATACAGGATTGTCCTGTATTTCAATGTAAAATAATAATAATAATAATAATTTATTATTTATACCCCGCCCATCTGGCTGGGCCTCCCCAGCCACTCTGGGCGGCTTCCATAAAAACCAAAAATAGAGTAAAATACCACACGTTAAAAACTTCCCTGAACAGGGCTGCCTTAAGATGTCTTCTGAATGTCAGGTAGTTGTTTATCGCTTTGACATCTGCTGGAAGGGCATTCCACAGGGCGGGCGCCACTACCGAGAAGGCCCTCTGCCTGGTTCCCTGTAGCTTTGCTTCTCGCAGTGAGGGAACCGCCAGAAGGCCCTCGGTGCTGGACCTCAGAGTCCGGGCAGAATGATGGGTGGAGACGCTCCTTCAGGTATACTGGACCGAGGCCGTTTAGGGCTTTAAAGGTCAGCACCAACACTTTGAACTGTGCTCGGAAACGTACTGGGAGCCAATGTAGGTCTTTCAAGACCGGTGTTATATGGTCTCGGCGGCCGCCCCCAGTCACCAGTCTAGCTGCTGCATTCTGGATTAGTTGTAGTTTCCGAGTCACCTTCAAAGGTAGCCCCACGTAGAGTGCGTTGCAGTAGTCCAAGCGGGAGATAACCAGAGCATGCACCACTCTGGCGAGACAGTCCGCAGGCAGATAGGGTCTCAGCCTACGTACCAGATGGAGCTGGTAAACAGCTGCCCTGGACACAGATTTGACCTGTGCCTCCATGGACAGCTGTGAGTCCAAAATGCAGGTGGATAACAGTTTTGTCCTGTATTTCAGGTCCTTTCTCTTTCTGCCAAGTTAGGGAAGCTCTCCAAATACATGTGTGTGGAAGGTCATGTATTTAAGCTCTGGGTAGCCGAACACAGACAGAATTTCAAATTCATGCGGATGTGCACAGGCGTATCTGAAAAAATTCCAGATTCCTGGTCCTAGACTAACCGCAACATCACACTGGCTTAAGTAATGCTCAGTTTGGGAGAATATGGAATATGTGTGAGATAGCCTAGTGTCTTACCTGGGACAGTCGGAACGGAAACTTCAATTTAGTGACACACTTAAATTAAAACGGAACAATCTGTAAACTGGGGCTGTCATGATGTTTTGCATGAGTAAGGCCAGCCTTCTTCAGTCAATTAACCACTGTCTTTCTTGCAACTATTAGTGTTGGGCTTAGAACATTAATAGTCAAATTGGCACAACCTCTCCTTAGGAAGAAGCCAGACTCGAATTCTTCTCCCTGACATATAGTTGTCTCTGTGCAGGGTCCCCCCTCCCCATATATATATTTGATTTTTATTTATTTATTTGGCATGAAGGAACATTCACTCCAAAGTTTTCTTCCACCTGAAGTCTGGAGTTGAAAATCCCTGGCACTGATTTAACCACCACAGCTCATTTACTGTATCTCCAATCAGTGATCATGGTTGTGGGGCAGACTGAAACTGCAGCCATGCAAATGGCTATTCAATCTCCCTGAGATCGCCTGAACATGGTTAGTGAGACGGAGATTTGCTGAAACTGAGACCTTTGAGCCTCTGCCTGAGGGCTGCTCAGGAAAGTACTGAACAACAATTGTCCAAGAGACTCACACCAGATATTGCTTGCAGTTTTAGAATCAGGTGGGAACATAGAAATATGGATAACTTTCTTGAGAGGAGACTTGCAAAACTGCTGGAAAAAGTGCGTTTGTGAATGGTTTTACCGCTTGCCTCTTTTTAGTGCTTTCTGTGAGAATTAGGCCTCCAAAGGGCATGTTTCATTCTAATGCCAAAACAAGCAAGCAAATGTGCTCTTTTAATCCTGAAAGAAAGGGAGGGGAAAGTGCACTACAGTTGGGCAGCCAGCTTCTGAGATAAACTGGAGGGGTGAAATTCCTGAGTCAACCTGCTGGCAAACTAGTGATTTCTCTTGCTCCTTGATAGGCTCTGAACAATCAGAGTTGTCTGGAAGTAAAAGGAGGATTTAATTGTGCTAATTGTGATATTTTGTCACCAGCTTTAGTATGACCAGGTCCTACTTTCCAGCATTCAAAAGGCTTGTGAGCTAAAACTTAACACCTCCAAAGGAGGTTTACCCTTATAATGGATCTGAGGTGTCCATGGAGTATAAAAAGAGGAACTTATCACCAGTATTGCCTTATATATTATGTGCTTATGAATATTTAACTGTTGTCCTTAGACTTAAATACATTTATTTGCAAATAAGCAATCTGTAGTTTGTCAAATGTTTTGTGCTGCAGATTACCCTAAAATGTTAGATTGAATTATTTATGTGAAGCTGACCTTGAAATAAATCCATACTGTGATAGATGAAACACGAATGCTTCAGACATGGAAAATTGTTTGTTGAAACCATAGTGAAATTCACCTGCAACGGGACCACTGTGCTTGATTAATTTCCATGCCACAAAGATGTGGTATTCTAGTTTTAACAATGCCAATTTACAGACCTTCGGCATATAATGGGAATTCCCACAATATTTCAGCTTCTCCGACAGAAAAAAAGCTTGAAGAGTATTGCCTTTCACCCCTGCAGCATGTCACCGCTTTATAAAAATGGCAGCAATTCTGAATCAGCTGGTACCACTGGGTTTGGAAAGGGTTTTCTTCCCTTTTGCATGGGGACTAAATAATATGCAACTATCCCCGTGACGGGGTGAGCTCCCGTTGCTCGGTCCCTGCTCCTGCCAACCTAGCAGTTCAAAAGCATGTCAAAGTGCAAGTAGATAAATAGGTACCACTCTGGCGGGAGGGTAAACGGTGTTTCCGTGTGCTGCTCTGGTTTGCCAGAAGCGGCTTAGTCATGCTGGCCAGTAAAGCGAGATGAGCGCCGCAGCCCTAGAGTTGGTCACGACTGGACCTAATGGTCAGGGGTCCTTTACCTTTACCTTTACCACTGATCAGGGCAGTGAAAATGTTTTGGGATGGTCACACTACTGCACTTCCAATCAGTGTAACTTCCTGCTGAAATCCTGTAACTTTTTAACAGGTTATTTTTGTCCCACTCTTGTTGCACTCTGGACAGCAATCATGTGGTAGCATCCGTCTTCAAAAACTTACTGTGGCTGTGAAGTCCTCATGTGACTATCCTGCCCTACAGCTGTATGACAGAGAGTTATATCTCACACAAGGAATTGTAGAGGGATCTTGATAAGTGCAACGTTTATATCTTTTGCCACTATGGTTTTTCTCAGTGTGCAGGATTCTGAATATAATAAATATAATGGAGGCTTAAAATTAGAATAGTGTGATTGAAATGGTATGTATACTTCTAGGCACTGTGATAATTTCTAGAATTTGATACACATTTTTGTTGTGATAATATGAGGTTTCAGGACAGTGCAAATCACACAAGCAAAACGGATGAACTTGAAAGCATCAGCACGTAACAACCCCTTACACAATCCAAACTTGCTTCATTTTTCATAGTCTCCAGATTCATATTCTGCCTCTTCCTCGTCTTCAGCAGAATCAAAATCGTCTCCGTAATCTGTGCCATCGCTTGTGCTCCAGCTGCCAGGAATATTCTGGAAAGTTAATGATGAGTCTGCAGAAAAAGGGACATTTAGTGTTAACAATTAAGCTTGTGATTGGGGAGTGGCCATAAGTTAGTGGATAGGGCCCTCGTTTGCCTGCAGGAGGGCCCAGTTTCATTCCTGGGCAGGTTCAGTTCAGGTAGCAGGACTGGGAAACACTGATTTAAAAAAGCCATTATGTCCACTGAAACATAGATTCCCTATCTAAAACATACAGTGGTGCCTCGCAAGACGAAATTAATTCGTTCCGCGAGTTTTTTCGTCTTGCGATTTTTTCGTCTTGCGAAGCACGGTGTCGGAAAAGTTTTGGAAAAGCTTCAAAAATCACCAAAGTCTTCAAAAACCTCAAAAAAGGCTACCACACCACGTGCTATGAGTTGCTCCTCGAAGTCAAGTCGCAACTGTATTAACGGTTTTAAGAAAAAGGAAACAAACTTGCAAGACGTTTCCGTCTTGTGAAGCAAGCCCATAGGGAAAATCGTCTTGCGAAGCAACTCAAAAAACCAAAAACCCTTTTGTCTTGCGAGTTTTCCGTCTTGCGAGGCATTCGTCTTGCGAGGTACCACTGTGCTGGTTTGAAATGAACAATTTGGGTTCCTATTAGCAGAATCAGGCAACCACCACCGAAAGCTTGATCTTTTTGTGTCCTTCCGCCAGCAGACTTTTTGGGAACTGATTGTTTTTAATAAAAGGGCTGGTGCCGTGCTGTTTATATTATTAATAGATATACATTTCTATCAATGTTAATTTTTTTTCTTAATTATTGGTTTTTTCTATGTTTTTAGGTTTTCTTACTTTTATCTGTGAACCACCCTGAGTCCCCTGTCATGGAAAAAGGACTAATAATAATAATACAGTGATTTACCATCAATAACTTTCAGCCTTGCAGATGAATAGGCAAACCCATATTTGTTTTTTGTTTGGCATATGTAGACACCTTCATCTGATTTCTTGATCCCTTGAATTTGTAACCATCCAGACACACTGTACTTCCGAGGTCCCCCTCTTGCCTGAGAAAATGAAAGCCAAATAACAAATAAATGAAGGTCAAATAATAAATAGGATGAAGTCTTCACCGTGTATACTCCACTGACATCAGTGAAATGTACATCATTGAGATTTTGATTGCAACGTTATATATGTTCTGTGGTCATGTACGGAGCAACTACTTTTGCAATGTTCCTCAACATGGCAAAGAGGAGAGCAAAGAGGACAAGCAAATTGTTGGTTTGCTTTTTTAAATTCAACCTGAACAATTTGCTCATCCCAAACTCCAAGTCATTTATGAACAAGTTAAAAATCGCTCCCAAAAAATTGCTCCCAAACCAATCCTCGGTTTTCTTTTCCCAGCCTTGAAAGGTGAGGAATTCTAGATGTCTTCTTCAGCCGCCATTTTGTTGTAGGGAGAGGTCTGTGTCTCCTGATACTGCAAAGAAAAGGTGATTATATCGCCTTACCTACTTTAAACTGTATACCTGTATTGAAATATGAGCATCATCTCCTGGCAGAAACATCTTATTTCCTTTCTTCTTCCACTCAAGGTGCGGCATGGGATATGCAGATACCTCACAACCGAAGATGACGTCATTCCCTGTGAAATTCTGGGTGTCTCGAGGTGGCAAAGAAATAACAGGAGCTGGAAGAGACACGATTGAGAGGATCATCATGCTCAAGAGTCACATTAAACAGCTTTCAGAACATAGGCTAATTCTATTCATTTGTTTATTTTATTTACTTGTTACATAAAATTCATACACTGCTTGATTGTAACAAACAAACAGACAACTCAAAGAGGTTTTCTTACGACAAGCATTGTGTGTTATGCCACCGCCCTACAGCAGCCAATTTGTGACTGGCACCCACAGCACTCACTCAATGCACCCAATAGCACCCCAAAGGTTGGCAACTCCTGACAACTCATTAGTGAAGTCACAAAGCTTTGCTGTTTTTCATAGAGGCTTAGCTAAATCTCCATGTGAGCATGTCCCAACAGTGAAAGGAAGGAGGGGAGAAATTGTCATCGGCCATAAAATTGCCTGTGTGCACGGTTTGGGAATTGTATGAGTTGTTTTTGGTTTTTTGAGACCAGAGTTTGCAGCTGTGTTGTTTGTTTGTAGACTGTGTCATCTCTGACCATGTGAATTAGGAGTACACGTGTGACGGATGGGACTGTGGTAACTGACAATGGTCTCATGTTTGCACTTCTGCAAAATCAAGGCAGGGTCAAATTGCTGATCTATTAGGCCTAATAAGAGCCAGTGTTAGCCACTAATAGATTTTAATCCCGAAGGAGCTGTAGAAATAACTTTCCCTATGAATGGCTGAATGAAAACTGCTTAATATTTCAAAAAATATGCGGTGTAAAGACTAAAAACAAGCAATATGTCAACAAAATCTTTAAACAAGTACAAAAACACAACCAATTACCAATCAAACACCAATATAACAAAGCACATAAAAGCATTAAACAGAAAATCAGAGGATTCAAACATGTCAGACTGGGTCCTAGCTTATGGGTCAGCAAACGTCTGTTCATCTCAAGGTGTCTGAAGCAACTGGTGGTTGCTGATTCATATTTGGCACAGGGAAAACCCTTCCACCATGCAGGGTCAACAGCTGGAAACGACCATTTTCTGGGGACTGCATCCTATGATATTATGAAGGGTGTGGTGCCAGGAGTATAATTTCCCCTGATGATGTTATAGGGGGAAGCAGTCATTCAAGGGACGCGGGTGGCACTGTGGGTTAAACCACAGAGCCTAGGACTTGCCGATCAGAAGGTCGGCGGTTCAAATCCCCGTGACGGGGTGAGCTCCCGTTGCTCAGTCCCTGTTCCTGCCAACCTAGTAGTTCGAAAGCACGTCAAAGTGCAAGTAGATAAATAGGTACCGCTCTGGCGGGAAGGTAAACAGCGTTTCCATGCACTGCTCTATTTCGCCAGAAGCAGCTTAGTCATGCTGGCCACATGACCCAGAAGCTGTACATCGGCTCCCTCGGCCAGTAAAGCGAGATGAGCGCCGCAACCCCAGAGTTGGTCACAACTGGACCTAATGGTCAGGGGTCCCTTTACCTTTAGTCATTCAAGTAACCTGGTCCCAAGCTGTTCAGGGCTTTTTAATGTTAACAAACAGACCTTGAGCAGGGCACCAAAACCAGTCTGCAGCAAGTGCAGTTCCCACAGCATGGGGAATGAACAATAAATAATTGTCCTTTTCTAAGCAACTCCTAAAAGCATTTCATCCTCACAATAACCTCTTGCAGAGGGAGAGTGACTTTCCCAAGTACTGAACCCAGAATTCTCCCTCCCACCTGTGGCCAAGAAGACTGCAATCCTGAGTAGATTTAGGCAGTTCAAAATCCCATAGACTTCCACAAGATTAAAGCAGGTCGCTGCATGCAGGATTGCAGCTCAGCAGCTAGCCAGTGCTACACTGGCATTTTTAAAAAAAGCATTTTTAAGCATTGTTTGTGTTCTTGTTACCACTGCTGCACACAGTGAAGCCGAACACCCCATCTGTTTACAAGAATGCTTCGATTTCCCCACCCCCACCTCTTTTATTCCGAATGGTAGCTGTTAATTTTGAACCCAGCATGAAGGACAATTATAACTGTGAACCATGTGAGTTGCTGCCAGTTCATTTGGGCACTAAATTCTGTTTTATAACTTTCATTTTGATCAAGCTATTAAAGTCATTATGCTTTTTTGCGGGGGGGGGGAGCACCTTTTAAAGATGTAATTACAATGCAGTTTTCCATTTCACGTTCAGGTTAAATTTGTGAAACACTAGACCACGTAGAATTTTTGTCACTTGTCTGAAGGACGTCGATGTGGTTTTCAATTGTGTTGTTTTCAAAAATAAATAAATAAAGAGTATGTCATATCTATATAATATATATCTATATACACACATATACATACGGCCACTAGAGGGAGTTGATTTAATGTCTTCCTTTGAACACATTAAATGAGCAACCACTGTACAGTGGTACCTTGGGTTAAGTACTTAAATCGTTCCAGAGGTCCGTACTTAACCTGAAACTGTTCTTAACCCGAAGCACCACTTTAGCTAATGGGGCCTCCCGCTGCCGCCGTGCCCCCAGAGCCCGATTTCTGTTCTTATCCTGAAGCAAAGTTCTTAACCTGAAGCACTATTTCTGGGTTAGCGGAGTCTGTAACCTGAAGCGTATGTAACCTGAAGCGTATGTAACCCGAGGTACCACTGTAATAAAGATTGGGGCTTTTGAAGATGCAGAATTGAAAAAGCATATCTGTTGTTGAAATCCTGTACAGTGGTGCCTCGCAAGACAAAAAGAATCCGTTCCGCGATTCTCTTCATCTAGCAGTTTTTTCGTCTTGCGAAGCAACCCTATTAGCGCCTTAGCGGATTAGCGCTATTAGCATCTTAGCGGCTTAGCGGCTATTAAAGGCTTAGCGGCTTAGCTGCTAAAAGGCTATTAGCGGCTTAGCGGCTTAGAAAAAGGGGGGAGCGGGGGGGAAATCGCAAGACTAGCAAGACGTTTCGTCTTGCGAAGCAAGCCCATAGGGAAATTCGTCTTGCAAAGCAACTCAAAAACGGAAAACCCTTTCGTCTAGCGGGTTTTCCGTCTTGCGAGGCATTCGTCTTGCGGGGCACCACTGTATTTCCCATTGTTGAATGGGGTTTCAGTCAAGTAAGAAGGTATCAGATAATCAACAACAACAGCAACTACCCCACCCATCTGACTAGGGTTGCTCATTCCTTGGCAGAGAGGGGAGAATGCACTTAAACACATAATCAAATAAGAAGAAACACATCCCCCCCAATCTGAGAACAAAGTAGGGAACAGATTTGACTTTTGAGAAAGAGCTAAAGGTGTTATTCTCTTCATCTGGGCAATGAAGGGGTGCCTCTGTCTCTTGATATCTTAAGTGGGTGCAGCGGATGTGATATTTGCAGAACTGCAAATTTGCCATTTGCTTCCACCCGTGCTCTCAATGGATCTCTCATTTCAGGGGAAATCAAGGCTAAGCCACGGAACCACAGCCCCAGGAATTCCTCACTAGTGGGGAGAGCAGAACAACCCTTATGTTGCCTGACTTCTAGGAATGTCAAACTGACTGCCTCTTAAAATCTTCAGTAGCAATAGCCCTCTCCTTGCGTTAGACGCACATGAAGCAGGTTTGCACGATTAAAGGGAAGAGGGGGAATCCATTACACACATGCATTGTGTGTAAACATCAGAGGAGGGAGAGTCCACATCTGTATAGCTCTGCACACACACAGGCTTTGTCACAAAGTGGAACCCCAGTGCGGCACAAGCTAGGCTGTGAGTAGCCCATGTAGCTTCCTCCATGTGATGGCCTGGGAATCTGATTCAGAGGCTGAACCTGAGGAATCCCAGCCTGCACAGGAGTCCCCGCCTCCAGGGCCAGCTGAGCCGGGGCAGGGGCTTGAATCTGAAGGATTCTCCTGTGCCGGATCCTCAGGAGCAGACACCAGATGAATCCACTCTGGCTCCGGAGGTGATGGAGGACCCATTGCCTGCAGGTGCTCCTCTCCCAGCCCCGTCAGAGGAAGCTGAGGTTGCCTCTGGGTCCAGTAACCCTCCAGCTTCTCCTGAGCTGCAGAGGCTCAGGGCAGAGAGGCGGAGGGAACTAACTTCTCTCAGAAGGAGTGCTCGCCTTAAGGCCAGGAGAGGCGAGTCACCTGTGAGACGGGACCGCCCTAGGCCCCAGAGGAGATAAAGGCCAGTCAGCCCAGTCCCAGGTTGTGGGAGCAACATCACTGGTAACCTGTTCCTGCCGGCACCCTGACCTGCTCTCCTGAGTTCCTGACCACGCCTGACTCCTCGCTTTGGACCTCGCTTCGCCCCTGACGGACAGCCTCCTTACCCTCGACCTAGGACCGGACTTAGACCACGCCGCACAGTAACCCCCCCCCCGGGACCAGCACGCTCCAGTTGTTTGGGACTACAACTCCCATCAGGCGCAGCCTGCATGGCCAATCTTCAGGGATGATGGGAGTTGTATTCCACAACACCTGGAAGGTACCACGTCGGTTACTTCCAAACTAGGCCGTATCAATCAGCAGTGATCCTAGGAAGTAAGACCTATTGCAGATACTGTATTAATATTTGCACAGATTGAAGAGACTGGAAGCATGAGAACTTGGGTCCCCATTACCAACTGTAACTGTTTTAACTACAGATAACTACTGTCTGTTACCTATGGACTTGTTCATAAATTACCCGCAACATAAGTACAAGTAATTGTGCGACCGTGCACTTGTTGATTTGACACACAGGCACACAAACTGTACACTCATTGAATGTTAGTAAAGGTAAAGGGACCCCTGACCATTAGGTCCAGTCGTGACCGACTCTGGGGTTGCAGCGCTCGTCTCGCTTTATTGGCCGAGGGAGCCGGCGTACAGCTTCTGGGTCATGTGGCCAGCATGACTAAGCCGCTTCTGGCAAACCAGAGCAGTGCATGGAAACGCCGTTTACCTTCCCGCCGGAGCGGTACCTATTTATCTACTTGCACTTTGACGTGCTTTCGAACTGCTAGGTTGGCAGGAGCAGGGACTGAGCAACGGGAGCTCACCCCGTCGCAGGGATTCGAACTGCTGACCTTCTGATCAGCAAGTCCTAGGCTCTGTGGTTTAACCCACAGTGCCACCCACGTCCCCGTTGAATGTTACATGTGAATAATTATGAGAGCATGTTGCTTAATTATTTGTGTGCACAGGTTCACAGATTGCAAACTGGTTGAATGTGATATGTGACCACCCCTTATTTTAGATCGGAAGCTCCCCGAGGACAGGGATCCAGGGGCGGAGGAAGGGGGGCAGTGGGGGCGGGCCGCCCCGGGTGTCACCATTAAGGGGAGGGTGACAAAATGCCAGGTGGCACTCACCGTGGGGCCTGCAGAGCGCCCGAGCCACGCATCTCTCCTGGGAGTGACGCAGTGGCTTGGGCACCTGCAGGCTCTATGCTGCTTCAAACTGTCCGCCTACCGCCTCTCCCTCAGCTGTAGGGCAGCTGAGTAGGAGGAGGCAGGCAGGCTCCTTGGAGGCCCCACAGAGTGTCCTGCCCAGGCTCACCCCACCCCATCATAGCTGTCAACTTACAGATTTGAAAATAAGGGACCAGCAGCCTCGAAAATAAGGGATCAGCAGCCAAAATAAGGGATTTTTCGGGCACAGGTATGTTCAACTTCTGAGCCCCTCCGAGCCAAAGGCAGAAAGCCCAGCCAGCAGCCAAACGAAGCCTCAAGCCTCAAGGAAAACCACCATCACCTCTCCGCTGGGAAGCGCTGAGCAAAGGCGAGTCCCCAGGCAACGCAGCTGATTTGATCAGCACAAGGCATGCAAGCCCTACCCCCCAGTCGTTCTTAGACTTCTTATTGGGTGAGCAACGCAGCCAAGCAACATAGTTGGAGCCTCCCTCCTCCCTGGCTGGCAGGGAGGGAGGGAGAGGAGCTGCTTCCTTTGAAACCCGGGAAATTTAAGGGACATCATCAATAAGGGACAGCAGCGGGACACGGCGCTGGGATAAGGGACTGTCCCGCCAAATAAGGGACGCTTGACAGCTATGCACCCCATGGGTGGCTGAACCCACCCCTGGGTGCAGGGCAAATGCGCCACTCCAAGCGTGCCATCCCAGTCCTCTGCCACTGCAGGGATCTATCTATTTTCCCTTTGAAACTCTCGCATTACATAAACTGATGACATTCCTCTGTGCATGTGCATGCCCACGCTCAAACATACACATGTACATACTTCAGATATTTATCCCTACATTTCTCTGTTTTATTGGCCCATGGAATCCTACAAGCGTTTTCCGATATACATACAACGTTGTCCTACATAGATCAAGGAACAGGAGAAGATCAGTTCAACCCAGCAAGGGCCTGTAAAATTATACGAAGCGTTGCCAATTGCTGTCAAAATTCACTGCATGCCCAATACTACCATTTTACAGGCGCAATTTATGTCACCTCTAGGCTGGCCTGAGATCCCTGTGCTTTTCGTATGGAGAGCTCTGACCACTGCGCCTGCAGAATGGCACAGACGATGCCAGCGTTGCCGAAACATTTCACTGACATTGCCAGTCAATACACCCGGGTGCCTTTGTATGAACAGGGTGCCTGGGAGTTATCACTGTGCCACATGTCACATGCGACTGCTATAGATCACTGGCATGCTTTGAAGAATGCAGAAAATCACATATGGGAAAATCTTACATAAATTCGTCTTGGCTCTGTTTCGGAACTGCGTGCCATTTGGACCTCACTCCAAAGGCTGTGCTAAATCTCTTGGAATCCTGTAAAGCGATGATGCTAATTGCAGAAGAATGAATCATTTACACATCAGGCTATAAAGCTGCCAGGAGGCTAAGAACTAATCTCTCCATTTGGTTATCTTTTCCGTTGGGCTTTTTCACATGCAGTGAAGCTGCATGCAAAGGTTTGTTCTTCGGTATAAAAAGAAACATGACCTTGCATGTGATTTATTTAAATCTGCATAAGACTGTAAGGGATTTGGGGGACCTGAGACGTTAAACATTATATATTGTTTCAGCTTGTACCTTCCTATTTTGACATACAGTAGCTATTTAGATCTTTCATATCAATGTTGCTGTCTTGTTAATTTCAACTTTATATACTAAGATTGGACCTAGCTGCTTTATGTTGATTACTTTTAAATAAAGAGAATCTTTTCCCATACTTTTACCCATATTCCTATAGTCTTCAATCCTGCCTTTCATTCATGGATAGTGGTAAAAGGACTCTGTTATGGCCCCCCTACAAATCTGCAGGCAATTTCTGTTCTTCAGCTTCACATTTTCACACTGCCCTCTGATCAACAGGTTGTCAATTCCCATGTGAATTCTACGATGTTAATCTCACAGGCTACGTTGGCAATTCCGGAGCACGTTCACATGCTTTAACAAAAGCTTTGTGGACTCTGCATCCAATGTTTTGTAGCCTCAGAAGACACACTTTGAACAGGACTCCTCGTTGTTACTATTTGTTACCTTAAGAGGAACTTTATCTAATGAAACATCAATAAGGGGGGAAACTGGATGCAAGGGGGAGTATATTTTCTCATTCCAGGATCACATAATATCACACTTGTGCCTATGTCCTTAGGGAACCCAAATCTACAATTGAGTAAATCCCAATAGTCAATAAGTTTTACTTCTTGCATTGTCAGGCTGCAATCCCATATATCCTTACCTAGACCTAAACACCACCGAACACAGTGGGAGTCACTTTAGCATAAACACACATAGGATTTCTCATCTAAACTCCAAAAAGATAACAAATTGCTCATTTGCTTAACTCCAAAAGAGTGATTTCCGAGCCCCTCTGTTGCATCCCTAGACTATGCTGCCAAATATCACCATTAGTAAATCTCAGCTTCCCTCAGGTACGCACCATATTTTTCGCTCTATAAGACGCACCAGACCACAAGACGCACCTAGTTTTTGGAGGAGGAAAACAAGGGGGGGGGGATTCTGAATCTCAGAAGCCAGAACAGCAAGAGGGATCGCTGCACAGTGAAAGCAGCAATCCCTCTTGCTGTTCTGGCTTCTGTGATAGCTGCACAGCCTGCATTTGCTCCATAAGATGCACACACATTTCCCCTTACTTTTTAGGAGGGAAAAAGTGAGTCTTATAGAGCAAAAAATACGGTACTTTAGACTCTGCTTTGCCTTTCCTTACCCGATTTGCATGGTCCTTTGTGCTTTATGCTCGCATTTATCCCCTTTCCTGCATAAGCCTCATGGAACTGGCAGATGTTCTCATAGGTCTTCCCTTCAGGTCCACATACAGTCTCCTGCAGCTTGCAGACACATTGTGGCTCGGGGATTTCTCCAGACTTGATGTCATGGACATCCAAACGGCACTCCAGGTTGTCCCCGCATTGCCCGTAAAAATGGCTGCCTTCATCCAAGTCACAGATCTGCCCCTCCACATTCCCGCATTCGGGACAGCAGCCACATGAGTCCAACACGGTCCCTGCTTGGCAGGCTGTAGGCACGGGGCAGAGTTCCAGGTTGCATATTCCACAGCTGTCCCCTTCCCTTAGCAGTCTCAGCCATCCTCTGTGGTACCAGGCAGGGAAGGACTGAGAAAGTTGCATCAGGGCTACCAGGAAAACTGTAGCCACCAGGGGTTTCATCTTGAGAATGTCATCAACAAGAAGCAAAGACCTTTTGGAGGCAAGCCAGAAGAAAGGGGGAGAAGAGGAGGAGGAGGAGAGAGAGAGAGAGAGAAAGAGAGAGAGAGAGAGAGAGAGCGCGCGAAAGAAAGCATGTCACAGTCACTTTCCACTTTTCGGTTTGGAATATGAATCTGGAACAAACGCTGGAGGCTTTAAAAGAGAAATTAGCCCCAGATCACAGCTTCCCCATATCAATAACAGTCAAGAGTAAATGTCAAGTTTCTTTGGCACAGTTTTGGAATGCAGCTACTGCTACCCCACATGAGAAAACCCAAGAACCCTCTTCTCCTTTACTCGTGAAGCTGACATGTGCTTTTTACATTGTCGCTGTGTGCATTTCTTTAAACATGTCTCAAACTCCCAGCAAAAGGTGACATAAATTAGTAACTGCGTTGCAAACACTTAAGTCATAAAAACCAAACAAGGATATGCACAGCACTTGTTCGTTTCTATAACTTCAGCCGAAAAGAAACCAGAAAAGGAGAATTCTGCCCTCGCCGGCAGGTTTTGATCAATTCTGTTGCTCCACAATAACCAACAATAAATCGGAAGTATTTATAAAAGTGTTCCTCCTTTCTTCACCTCCCTTAAATGTTATCATACGAGTGACACTCACTACCACTATATTTTCCTTATAATCATCTTAGCCAATCTTCAGTGTATACATTTGCCGCTTGGAGCAGCTGCAAGAATTTGCCGTAGCTACCAATCGCCTGCCCAATTGCCACAGCCACAGCCAATCGCCAGCAGGCCTTGCTGCAGCCACCAATCACCCGCCCAATCACCACTGTCAATCTCTTGCTTGCTGCTGCCATTGATAGCACGTTCCCCCCCCCATTCACTTTCCATGTATAAGACGACACCCAATTTTTGCCTATTATTTTTTTTTTAGCAAAAAGCATCGTCTTATACACTGAAAAATACGGTATTCCGTGGATTGACGTTTGCACTGATTCAGCAGTAAAGAGCGGGTTTTCCTGGAGAAAGTGGTGGAACAAATGAAAAAATAGTGTTAAGTGGAAAACCTCTCAGATACTTGCTTCCTACAAGTAACGTGTGGACGAGCCCTTTGTTGAGCATTCATCTTGATTTGTTTACAAAATATGTAAATTGTTCATTCTTTCATTTCACAATTTACAATGTTTTTCCTATTTTTTTGCAGTTTTTCCTTTTTTTATTTTTTTGCAGTGCTCATTGTACACACTGCAAAAGTCTGTTTCCTATTTTTAAAAAGTGGATTTGTTGTGTTAAGGTAAAAAGGTAAAGGGACCCCTGACCATTAGGTCCAGTCGTGGCCGACTCTGGGGTTGTGGCGCTCATCTCACTTTATTGGCCGAGGGAGCCAGCGTACAGCTTCCGGGTCATGTGGCCAGCATGACTAAGTCGCTTCTGGCAAGCCAGAGCAGCACACGGAAACGCTGGTTACCTTCCCACCGGAGCAGTACCTATTTATCTACTTGTGCTTTGACATGCTTTCGAACTGCTAGGTTGGCAGGAGCAGGGACAGAGCAACCAGAACTCACCCTGTCACGGGGATTCGAACTGCCGACCTTCTGATCAGCAAGCCCTAGGCTCTGTGGTTTAACCCACAGCACCACCCGCGTCCCTTGTGTTAGGGTAACAGGGCACAAACCTAAAGTTCTAGTATGCACTTGAATCCCTCGTGCAAAATATTGGCAGCCTGGAAGCGCTTTCTTGATCCTTTGTTGCTCTAGATCAGGAGGTGATCATGTAGCTCTCTAGTTTTGTCTCAGGGCCTATTACAAAACCCCCCTCTAGTTGATTGACAGCTATCCGTTTGAACAGTTCGATATCAATTGTTGTTGAACACTTTTGAAATGTTTCCATTTGTCTGGGAGGCGGAAGAACAGAATTATAGTTCTCTCTTTTTAATATTATGTAGAAAACAATTAAAATATATAGGATGGATTATTAAAATATGTAAAATTTATAATTTAATTATAAGATTGCAGAGCTTTATAGTCTAATAGCTCTGGTGTATTTTGCATAACAGTGAACAATTGCTTCCTTAAAGCACACAGTAGAATCATTTACTTGATGCTGGAGAATAAGTTAATTATGGATCCCTTGGCTTTGACTAATGGTTTTAATAATCACATTACTGTAGAATTAACTTATACTTTACCATGCTTATAGCACTAATGATGAGAATTATAAAATTTATGTATCTTCAAAGTAAAATTGGCATGAAAAAGCTGCCTGAAAATACAGCAGTTCCTCAGAGAACGTTTAATGGGTATCCAATCACTTCTGATTCTTCTCCCACTTATCCTCACTACTCATTTACAATTTTCTTCTGCTTCCAAGACTGCTCAGCAATTACCATTTTATGAGCTGAAGTGTGGATGGTCTTCCTGAGCAGAGTGTATTAAAAAACAACAACCCTGGCCTAGAACCAAAGCAAACAATCCCAGCAATTCCACAAATTTGCAACGTGCACATTGGACGTGACACTGCCTGTTAAGTTGTGGGTGAACATATCAGACGACACAGCGATTCTTCAAACAGCTCTTGTTTATTCAGAAGCCAGAACAGAACTGAGCTGAAGGGCTCAGTCAGCCTGCTTCTATAGAGCTCCAGTACAACGTTACTGTAGCAACTTTCTAAAACTATCCAATCACTGAACATCACTTTTGATCCTTCATTTGCATAACTATCTACAGTATCCCCCTGCTGGCCCAGGGTGAGAACTTCAGTACATAACACTGACCTTTATTATGACAAATTATGGAAAGAAAGGAGAGAGCCCTGATCTTTATTGTTCAGGGGTGTTGACTGTATCAGCTTTCCACATCATTTTCTGGATCTGTTGTATGCCTGACTGCAGATACTGATGCTACCGGTAGGGATGGTTAAGAAATTCTATTCTGTTTGTATTGAAAGCTGAATCTGTCAAACTCGTGCTTTCAGAAAGAGTACGCTAACTGCCCTTTGAAATTCATGCTGATGTGAATTTTGCAATGCAGTCCTCCAAGCAACGTTTTTTTTAAAAAGAAGAGAACGTATTAGGGGAAAGTGCAAATAACAGACGCGTCAAGAACATTGTGCAGAATACACTGGCAATAAAACAACACCAGTGTGGAAGGGGTCACTGGTCAGATCCTGCTTTCATCAAGCCCAGTGTTACCAACCCTGTGGCAGTGGTTCTCCAGTGGTTCCTGGCAGAGAGAGGGAGGTCTCTCTTTCCCATCAGTTTCTATTATTTATATTTATATTTATATTTATATTTATATTTATATTTATATTTATATTTATATACTGCCCTATACCCACAGGTCTCAAGGCAGTTCACAAGATTACTTCACAATATAAAAACACAAAATACATAACCACTCTGCTAGGCCCCGGGGGCTGACAACCCATGCTACACCACTGGTGCTAGAATGCCTGTCTCTTCTTGTTGTTGTTTAGTCGTTTAGTCGTGTCCAATTCTTCGTGACCCCATGGACCAGAGCATACCACGCACTCCTGTCTTCCACTGCCTCCCGCAGTTTCCTCAAACTGATGCTGGTAGCTTTGAGAACACTATCCAACCATCTCGTCCTCTGTCGTCCCCTTCTCCTTGTGCCCTCAGTCTTTCCCAACATCAGGGTCTTTTCAAGGGAGTCTTCTCTTCTCATGAGGTGGCAAAGTATTGGAGCCTCAGCTTCAGGATCTGTCCTTCCAGTGAGCACTCAGGGCTGATTTCCTTCAGAATGGAGAGGTTTGATCTTCTTGCAGTCCATGGGACTCTCAAGAGTCTCCTCCAGCACCATAATTCAAAAGCACCAATTCTTCTGCGATCAGCCTTCTTTATGGTCCAGCTCTCACTTCCATACATCACTACTGGGGAAACCATAGCTTTAACTATACGGACCTTCATGGATCACTGCCTCGCTGTGGCGAAGGGGCTTGAATAACTCAGAGAAGCTATGAGCTATGCCGTGCAGGGCCACCCAAGACGGACAGGTCATAGTGGAGAGTTTTGACCAAACATGATCCACCTGGAGCAGGAACCGGCAAGCCACTCCAGTATCCCTGCCAAGAAAACTCCATGGACATAGACAACAGGCCTGCCTCTTGAGAGGGGGAAAATTCTGGTGGCGGTGGGGCAGGAAGGGCACCGCCTCTTCTTCTTTTGCTGCCTGAGGCAGGTGCTTCCCCCCATCTCATCAGTGGGCCAGCTCTGTGGCCAGTTATTGAAGCCGCATGTCTCGCCCTAGCTTCGGTTTTCGTACTTCTTTCGTTTACTGTCTAATCCCTACTCCCATTTGACATGAACTCAGGAAGTGCTTCAGTGCAAGGTTTTTCTTTTCCTCCCCACCCCCCCCACCCCCAGTCTGCGATCAACAACACCTGACACCAATTTGTACTTCAAAGACTCCCCCCTCCCCCCCATCAGAATACAATTTCATTAGTCATATGCCAAGCATTACAATGCCATGGAGAATAATACAACAGAACTCAGCACTTAACATGATACTATCACATGACCGAAAGGCAGGAAATTAATAAAAACACAATTTCCTAAAAATAGACTTAAAGGCACCAGCGCTCTAGAGGAACAGGGCTTCACAAATGGTCTGGTGGGGAAGGATCACTTGTTATTGGTAGCAACGTGAAGTGACTTTTATTGGAGATATTTGTTGTTTCCCCCTCTAAAGAGAGTTGTCACAAGAAATTCCAGTTATGTGGCAATTCCTGTCCAGGAAACTAGAGAACTAGACTGTCAAGTCCAGAGTAATATAACTATCCAATTACACTCTGGGGCACTGGAGACCAGGGTGGTTTTGTTATGTTTGCTTAAATACTAAAACACTACAAGTGACAGAAGCATAATAGAATGAAAAGGACCAGTCAGTCAAAATCAGTTCCCCGAAGACAGCCTGAACAGAAAGTCTATTCCTGGTATTTAAAGAAAATTAAAAATCAGAAAAGAAGGAAGGAAAGGTCTTCCAGATTGTGACTAGATTTGGCTAGGATACAATTGCATACTGACAAATTCAAGTTTTGTAGTTATGGTTGGTT